CAGGAAGAGTACAAGCTATTCAAATATCATCTAGAGTCGTAAAATTTAACACAAACACACTTTCGTACATTCGAATGTGGTGTACGCTGGATTTATGGTAGAGATTGTTATACCGTCGGTATTTCACTGTAATTCTAAATCTGTACAGTAAGTACTTACCTTACTATCTGTGCAAAATGTATATATAAACCTATATTATCTGCTTTATCTAAGTACTACATAAATAATATTTTATGTATGTTTATTGTTTATATTCAATTTGCAGCTAGAATATTTTGTAAGCATATTTTTAGATTAAAGGTTTGTTTTACAAAATTAAGAATTGTCTTTGTGTTTACATTATTTATCAAAGCATATAATTACTATGTATTATGTACGTTATAATATATATTTAACATACATAAATTAATTAATTAATAAGTTATAAACTTTAGTTAATTAATCAGTATACCCTTAACCTATAAATTAAAAGACAAATGACCAACTAAACGACTCTACAACCGCGTAAACCTAGTTCCAAGCCATCAATTTCCTACACTCGCCGTCATATCCGCAAACATTTCTTATTTCCGTTCGATTAGGGGCAGCAATCTTTCATCATTTAACGCCGCTGTGGTAAAGCTGTCGTATTTGTGATTTAAAAATAGTTCTCTTATTCTGTGGGAGTACAAACTTTTTTTATTTTACTTGAACAAACACTGTTACAATCTAGAGTTGTGGGATCTGAAAGTTAAAGCTCACTTATGAAATATATGTTTTTATTTGTTTTTAACACGAGGAGTACTATTACGCCTAAATTAAAGGAATAAAATAAACTGAATGTCATAAAACTAAATATGAAGTCATACAAAAATGTCAATGTCTCTTGATCTTTATGATCGTAAACACGGTTCCAATTTATTTAAGATTAATATTGTGCTATAATTATATTAATTTTTTAGCCCTAAAGTTTTTTTTTGCGCCAGTAACCTTTGCAGTAGTATCCAAAATACAGATAACCAGGTTGTAATCCTAAAAAACAATAGATAATAACAATTTCTATCTCAAATATTTTATCTCGAATTTCGAAACATGTATCAAAATCTCAATTCTAATCCAATAGGCATCAGTCATCGTTACGAGGGTTATTTAACAGATGGCTCTCTAATCGTAAACGGTCAATTTGATTCAATTTAGCACCGCGGCCCCCACTTTAGCTAGATTGACTCGGACGGCAGGATATGGGCTAGGTGTTGATTTGCTTTGTTATAAATACGATAGCAAGTAGATTACATAAAAATATTATAATTTACCAACCAAATCTTTAATTATTTCTTTATCTTACTACTACTATAAATGTGAAAGTTTGGATTTACGGATGTTTGTTACTCAATCACGCCAGAACGGCTGAACGGATCTGGATGAAATTTGACACAGAGATAGATTATAATCAGGAATAACACATAAGCTTCTTTTTATCCCGGAAAAATATACGGTTCCAGTGGGATAGATTTGTTTTTATTTTTCATATTTCATACACATAATAAACTAGGGGCTCACCCTCGATTCGCTCGGGTTCGCCTCTAGGGAAACAAAAACAAATCTATCCCACGGGAACCGTACATTTGTCCGGGATAAAAAGTAGTTTATGTGTTATTCTGATGTATGAGCTATATTATTGTAAAGTTTCATCAAAATCCATACAGTAGTTTTTTCGTGAAAGAATAACAAACATATATCCATACAAACATACTTACAAACTTTTGCGTTTATAATATTAGTAGAATTTAGATCTTTCAGATATTTATTTAGATTTATTATAAAAACAAAATAGTACTTAGAAAGTTATGTGCCAACTGCTTATTTGACGAAATGAAATATTAACACATTTCTCATTCAAACAATTAGATCAATTTGTCTCAATGGCCTAAGTGCAAGCAATAAACGTCAAAAAGGGCATACACAAGTGGTCACATAGCGAGGGGACTTGTATATGTACTCTATTGTATGGCTCTTCACCATAATGAATTCCGTAGCGACCTTCCGTTGCATCGCGTGCGATAAGGGTTAAAGCACTGTTGTGTTTACGCTTATTTATGGTTAAGTTACTTAAATGTGTGAAAACAGACTTACATAATATTACTACTTACTATATGTTACATATTACATTCAGATAATGTTGTAGTGGCGAAAATATCACCGGGCCATGATTTTGAAAAAATATATTAATATTTAATACTAAAATTTAATTAAATGGTCGTAATCGCAGATTATAGGCACGGTAATGTTATGCATATTACCGTGTTATAGGTGTGTCAAAATATCGGACAATGGCGGGTCTGACTCGTATCATCCGGCGAGATTGTGTGTAGTTTTTACTTAGGTAATTTAAGTTAAAACTAAAAAAAAATACGTAACGTAAGCATAATATTCGTTTAGCTGACCGCAAGAATAAATTTATATTAATACATAGTATTTTATCAAAATACTATGTAAAGTTAACGTCGATTTTGTGATTGTTGAACTCAAGTATGTAAATGAAAATATCTCATATTTTTAAAAACTAAACGCATTTCTTTAAAATATTTTCTGTCGAAATTTGAAAGCTTTCCACTTCATTCTTGTTCAAAATGTTTCACTACATATTTTAATAATTAGTGGTGAATGGGTATTATACGACGACACGTTGGCTCAGTTTGTAGCGACCCCACTTGCTGTGCGGGTTCGAGTCCCGCTGGGGGTATTCATTTATGTGATGAGCACGAATATTTGAACTCTACTCATGGGTATTTATATTTATATTTTGTATGTATTTAAAGTTATATATGTGTAGTGTAACTCATCACGTCAACTATCTGGCATCCACAACACAGGCCTCATAGCTTACCATAGAACTAGATGGTGCTGTGTGTTAATGTCCCAACATATTTATTTATACGAAAAGGCTGTCAAAACTGCTCTTTGCGACCACTGGTTTGGTCTTAGTAATAAAGAATCAGTCAGAGCACATTTATATAGCAACTTTTTAAATACATGTGTATTGTGTATATACAAGATCAATTCCATTAAAATTTTCTTCTAACCCTCACCCATTCCTTTTTTCAAGCTTCTCAGATATTAAAATAATATTTATGAAACTAAATATTAACATAAATTATTTAGATACCTCGGAAAAAGGTGGAATTTGTTATATTTTAGGTTAAACAGATTATAAAATGTAGGTAGCCAGCAAGTGGCCCGTTGCAAGCGTTGGAGCAATGCCAATATTTCTTGTCAAAACGTTTACAGTTCAAAAAGATTTGAATGCAGAAAAATAAATATGCAATGGGAATATATAGGAGTTGGCTCATCCAAATGAAATAATTCTCAGAGAGATAAATCAGAAGCATTTATTCATTAGGTTTTATGAAACCTTAGCAACACTGCGATCGTGTACTTAATGAAAAAAAGTACCTATAATTACTTGGCTGCCTCTATAATGTGCGAGGTTTTCAAATTAAGATGCGAGTGACGATAGTGGAAACTTTTAAGATTAAAATAATAGTTATAATATTTATTCATATTTCTCTAGAAATTAAAGTTCTCGTCTTTATGTTGTACATATACCTATGTAATATGTATGTATGTAAAGGTTATCTATGAGACTTATTGTACTACTTATGACTTATATATAATTATATTAAAAGAAAATCTTTCTTACTAAGAAATTCTTAGTATGTCATGTACATGATATCAATAATAATAATATGCATGATATCAGTAATAATAATGCTGTGTGTATCAATCTTTCCGTATCAACTTGCCGATTTAAAGTCATTTTATAATAAATAACAAACAAAACAAACATTATAGCGAAAAAATCTTAATGCACTTATTTATCGCGGTTTATTTCATCGATGACAATATCAAAACACGCATCTTATTTAATGAAGCATCTGATATACGAGTAGATATACTACGAGTATATAACTCGGATGTTATCTGAAAACTAATTAATACAATATGCATCAACATATTTACATCGTATCTACAGTATGCTATAGAATTTTCTTTATCAACTCCGTCTAGATTTATCGATGCAGTGTTAGACGCGGAGCGTTAATAACATTTTGCCTGATGCCTCTAACAGGCGCTGTTAAATATAATTAGCGGGAACACTTCGCGAGAGATGCGTAATTAGGTCTGGTGCAATCGCGTGCTACATTCGTATTTCAAATCAACTTGCCTTTCCGACTTTGATTTGTAAAAATCGCTCACTGTCAGCGTTATTAGAAAGATTTCATATTTCTTGTTGGAAAATATTTTCAAGAGCTTTTTGAAAATTATTGAAAGTTCCATTTTATTTGTTTTCTGTTTAAGTGAAATTGTGTGCTTAGTTGTAGATGATGTTTAGATGTTTTTGTATAAAGAAAACCAATATAAAAAATTAGTACCTTATTTATCACATTGTTTACATATAGGTGTGAAACTTATATTCCAATTGAATTTTTACCATTTAATTTAAAAAAGTACAAAACATGTTATTAAACAGATACATGTTACATATATTTTTTATGATTTGTTTTTCCACGACGAATTTCCACAACGTAAAGGCCAACGAAAGTTATAAAACATTTATGAAACTTATGTCATTAAAAGGAAAACAACTTCAATTACTGGTGACATCTTATTTCGTGAAGTTAAGGATATTCGAGGCCAAGCACGTCACGCGATGCCACGCCCTCAAACTCAATAAAGGCTCGACTGAACTACTTTTGAAATGTCAACTTCCATAACTTTACCTTCAGTCATCTCCTTTGAGGATTATGAGTCGTAAACTATAAAGCGATATCAAAGTCTCTCGGGAATGCCATTGTTAATGCCTCCGAGGAAAAACAGCAACCGCAAATGAAAAAAGACAATGCATAAAGGAGCAATCCACGTTAGTATTTTCAACTGAAAAGCTCAACAGAAAGGACGTATCCATCATTGCAATGAGACGTTTCTACATGAAGACACGAGAAATTGGTAGTACGGGCTTATGAACGCATGCGCGAGGCCCAAGGACATACGTCGTGGCTCAGTCTGGCGGGAGGCATCGCCGCGGCCACCTGTCCCTCCACCCCTACAAGATGAGGAGCGCCGTATAGCTCTCGACTGCGACCGAGCCCCGCATGCCCCAGCCAGGAGCCCCAGCCGCCGGCCGCAGAGCGACCATTAGCAGTGAAGCCCCAAGGGCGCTCCGATTCAGTCTCGTAATTGGATTTTGACGTTCAATAAGCAACGTTATGCTGATTTGATTGGAAAGCGCTTTCCGCTTCGATATTGCAGCTTGCTTTACTTCCTCTCCGCGACTTCGCTTTGTGTAGATGCTTTATTTGTTTCTCAAAATTAATAAGGTATTGGATCTATGTCATTTGTACTTACGTAATCTATTACGAAGTTACTTGTGCATCAAAATGTGATAATACTAGTATGCGAGTATAGCTTGTAACAGACAGGAGTGCGAAAAGTTTTTAGTGAACATGACTTGCTGGGAAAGCGTAGGATTACTCGGACCCTGTGCGCTTCTTGCCTCATCTGACGTCAGGGTGAGTCCAAATCCCAATAACTCAAGTTCTCCCTGACCCTATTAAAAATATAATTTTCAATTAAATTTTTCTACTATATAAAAATTACACAGTTGATCCGGTACCAACGTTAATTTTTCGAATCAATGATCTGTTAAATTGCGTTATTTTCTTTTAGTGAATGAATAACTACTACACTCGTATTATTAATTCTATTATAATTATTTATAAAGCTTGACTAAGCACCATGTTTATTTATCGGAATTATTATTTAGAAAATATAGAGATTAGATAAAGATCACTTCATAAACAAGTCAATTAGATAGGCATGTATGTACATTTGAGAAACTTTCATTGTAGTAAATATTTGCGTTCTTAATGATTTCTCTAACTCATACTAGAATGATTCAGTCGAGTCGTACAGCGCTAGTCAATAGCAACTTAACCATAATCCCATAATGGTGTCAATCGTGTTATTAACCACAGAAGAGATCCTTCAAAGAAATGGATTCTGGTATTGTTTGGATTCTATTTGGATTACACAAGAGATGGAACCGTTTGAAGAAATAAAACCCGAGCATCTTTTTTCAAGACCACTTTCAAGGGACGTTTATTATGCAAAGCACCCGGAAATCCCAAGAAGCGAGTCCGAAGAAGAAATTTCTTTGACTGTACATGGTTTTAAAAATAAACACCGAGAATGGAAATCTAGGATAAATTTAAGAAATTTTGAATATTCTCAAATTAAAAAAAGGAACTCTTCGCAATCAAGTAACAAATCAGACTATAATAAAAGAAGTTTATCTGTTAACGACGAAACTCGAAGAGTTACATCACTAATGCAAAACGTTGAAAACAGTATTTCAGAAAAAAATATAAATAATGAAAAGCGCGTTAACGATTTTTTCAAAAAGTTGTATGCAAGCATTCCGCCCCCACCATTAGAGGACCTAACAGAAAACAGTTCAATTATTCAACCACAATTACATCTCGAAGATGACAATGACTTCGATCTTCCAAATTATAGCGATTTTGAAAACAATCGAATAAATCTCACGAGTGACAAACAAATTGGTCCGCTGACATCTACATTAAAAAGAAAACCAGCTGTTCCCAATTCAACTATGAATTCCTTGAAGTCGGACTCAGATGAATTTGAATCCTGGTATGAAACTATCTATGGAGTATCGGGTTTGATAGAGTCAGATGAAAATGAAAATTCAAGTGATAATGACTTACCTGACGACTCTGAAAACTTGATATCGTGGACGGAGATAATTGAGATGTGTGGATTTAGTGAAAGTATTTTTAAAAGTAAAGAGTTATCAGAAACTGAAAAATTGATAAGTCAATCGCATAATTTTAATCATATATCAGATATTTCAGACATCGATGATGACATAGCTTATGCAAAATTCGCCGTTAATAAATTACAGCAATCACTTAAAATTAAAGGAGCATTACGAGACTCTTCTTCTGTAGAAAATTTAAATTACGAAAGTGAAGTACTGAAACCTATTGTGCACATCAATGCTTCCGTTTATAGAACGTTCTATCGCTTAGCGCCTGGTGACGAAGATGTGGTAAATGTTTGATTATAGTAAATATGAACTATTAATACTGTATTATTTGTACAAAATATTTAATAAAATAAACTGTAAAAAATTGACATGTTTTATTTATCTGTCATCTCAATCCCATGCTTTAATAATGTAAGTAGTTTTTTTTTCTACTTTAACTAATATATACTCAAGCATATTGTAGTGTTTTTTAGAACTTACAGTAAAAATATTTGTTTCAGCCTCCAGAAAACGAATTGCAGAAGAATTCCGATCGCGTGCTCTCTGAGCACGAATTGCGGGTCCAGAGGTCACTGCAAAAACTCAATGTACCGGAATGGTACGTATTTAAAATTTATTAAAATAACTATATCCATATGTACACAACCTAAAATGTAGGTTACCAACTAGGTACCCTACATTTTAGGTTGATGTTACACAGAATTATTACTTAAAAAAATTTACCATGTTTACGACAAAAATGTTAATCCAGTCACGTAAACATGTAAAAAATACGACCTTACTTTCTTTTTCACCTCAAATTGCTAGTGGCGTAATATTATACAGTGGCTGAATCGAGATATGCATAATTATTTCTATTCAGCAAATAAGTTCTCACGCTTATGACTAAACTAGTGTTGTTTATTAACATTAATGAAGTACTAATTATATCTCATGCGGACATGACTTGATGATCATCAGAGCTAATGTTAATTGGTTGCTAGACGGCACTAGTAGCATCTTACATTTCGCTTAACAATTCCCGCGGCTTTGCCTAATGTAGTTTATTTTACTCTTAACTCGAAGCTCGAAGTGCAAAATATGTAGAGAACTTGAGAAACGATTAATATTATGTAACCTCCGCTACTTAGGTACTGTTAAATATTAATTTCAAAAAAAAGGAGGTTATGTGGAAAAAATCACGATTTAAGGTTACTTTTTTTTTCGTTTTTTTCTTTTCTTTCGTCCTTTTTCCTTGCAAAGTAGGCATCTGACAAACAGAATGTAAAACAATACCGAACAATTTATGTTTATTTATTGCTTATAAAGATTTCTAATAGGTTTTTAATTTGTGCTTTTACTCACTTTTGTATAATATTTTTATATTGTAAACAAAAAATTTAATCTTTTCATTTTCATTAAAATGCCAACCTAATAATTTTATTCAGCTATTCTTTAATAACGGTATATCGAAGCTCGACGAAACGTAGCTCCATAGAACCATATCAAGATAACTCGCACTCTAGTTCCCTTTTGTGTGACCTGCGCTTCGCAATACATAATACGTAACACAGTAGGTACTAGATAGAATTCCTGCAAAATTCGAAATTAATATAGTAGAACAAAATAGTGCCCGGTTATGAAGTGTTTAATTATGTAAGTGTCTCTTGTTTATAACGTAGGTACTTGACTACTCTATCTTTACGTAGGTTTAGTTTACAGTTACGTAGGTTTAGTCACACACACACACACACACACACACACCACACACACATACACACACACCACACACACTTACACACACACGCACATACCGTCAATCTACTTATATTATACATCATATCATAACTAATATCTTAAATTAATTTAACTTTTAAATCTTATATTGGAACATAATGTATATTTTTTTAATCTAGAGGTGGGCGTTAATGACTACGACACAGTTTTAACTAATGTAGTCATAATCGAACATCATTTTGTAAATTGTAATCCTTAAAACGTGCCCAATAAAGATTTTTATTTATTATTTATTTATTTTATATATTTTCCTCTTAATTTGAAAAGTTTGTTTATGCAATTAAAATTTTCTTTACAAAAGCTTGTTATCATTAATTAATCCTTGTTATTTCGTTCATTTCACAAAAGCTTTACAAGAGCTTCCAATTAGCGAGAATGGTATGTAAACAGTACAAAGAAATATAGGTAACTGTGTTTTAAATTCCAGGTACAAAAATGCGCCAGCCCCTCGAGAGGGTTTCCTCCTTCGCAAGCGACTATCTGACGCATCAGCGTCTGCGGCACGCTGGAGCGGCCTCAATTCTAAGACCACTTCGCTTGGGAGCCTCGGCGCAAATGCGCAGCCACCCCCACCTCATCTGTCCCCACACACTACTAGCTTTGGTAGATGGTCCACTAGCCGCCTTAACTCGAACCAGGTTAGTGCATCTTTCCAGATTTTTTGGCACACTAATTTTTTTTTTGATTTGATAATTTTCTATGATATTGAGCGAATGAAATCTCTATTATTGAAATTCTGTAGAAGCATAATATGAGTAATAGCTTTTAATTCAAGTATATGACTGGAATTCAAAAGTTCTCAATAAAAGAATACTTTTATTTTTTATCATCTTTATTAATATTTATTTTATTATTATATTTAAATATAAATGAAAGTAAGTATAAATAAATATTTATTTTAGACATCGCCGTGTTCCTCCACTCGTAGCAGTATCCGCGGCACAAGTCCTTTGTGCTCACCCTCCACTCGCTCTTCGTTCAGTGCACGGCAGCCATACCTTGGTTGGAGGAGTCAGGAGAGATTGAATACCACCCCGCGAACGCCACACGAGAGGTAAATAATTAGACCACATTTCCTTTCTTTATCCTTTCTTTACATATAATTTTAGAGATATTTAAAAAGAAACCTAGCCCTTTACCATTAAGTGTCTCATTAAGTCTTAATAATTAAATATTCCTCCGCCGCGTTGAATTTGTGTTTATTCGGGCTAATCTCACAAACTACTGTACCGATTTTCTTACGGTTTACACCACTAGAAAGAGTGATTATTTGGGAATATTATAGGCTAATTTAAAAAGATTTTACAAAAATAAGCCACCGATATAAGAAAATTTGTGTATTAAGTAGGAAAAAAAATATTTTCTTATCGTTTCCGCATTATTATAAATGTAATCTAGTCAAGTAATCTTGTCTTTAACATAACCAAATGTTTCTCTACTCTACATATTATCTATTAAAGACATATAGCTCTTTGACAAATGTTATCATCATTTTTTACTGTATTTTAAACCACTTAGAACAAAGCCATACCATGTGATATATTCGCAAACCACGCCTTATACTCCCGTAACTAGCGTGACTTGACCTCGTAGCGCGTTGATACTGCGTGTCTTAGAAATATAACAGAGGCAGTGAGTAAAATTTACTTTCCGCATTAGTGAAACCCCTGTTTTCTAATAGTTTTTTTTACATCTTCGTTTTATTTAAAGATGTTGGATTTTTTTTATTCCGCTTGTGCACATTGAAGTAAATTTTACGAGCCTCTCATTATCAGCATTCCTTTGCTGTATCGGAAAAAATCCACGGAGTATTTTGGCTATTTTAGTCTTCGAAGGCGGTCTTATCGCTAATTAGCGATAAGCCTAACCTTTTGTGCCAGTTGGTCTTTTTTTGGATACATTGTCTTTTTACCGGTCTATGGTGAAGTCAGATAGTATCACACACACACACACTATGTCAATAACTATTTTTTTCTATTCAAAATATAAATGGTTATTTATTTTTCCAGGTTAGCCTCGTCTCTTCTTCAGCAATCCGCATCAGCAAAAGCGTCAGAAGAAATCCAATCATCGATCAAAGAAGTTACATCGGCGATAGTTCATTACGTGTCTGGGTTAGAACCAGCTAATGGGGACATTGAGAGACAACCCTCGCCCAGATCCAGTCAGAAATTGTGTTGGGTTGAAAGTTCGTTTGTTGGTGAGCTTTAAAAATATCTCTGAACTTTTATAAGTATCGTTATTGGAATATGTAATGTAATGAATGTAAAATTTTGTACATTATCCAAAATCTTAAAAAGCATTTTATTTCATAAATAGCCCAAAATATTCAAAATAGTTTTTACGATTTCCTTATTATTAATCAGCCTAAACTAAGAGACTCTAAGCTGATTACAATATAAATATGTAGTCTACTTCAGTATATTACTGCCGATTGTACTAAGACAAGCTTGTATCACAGACGCCAATTCTTTCTTCTATGCTTGTTTTCAATGGAACCATTATTCGTATTACTTTTCAATACAGCGAATTAATCGTGGTCATAGTAAAAGCAATAGGATGAATGAATGAGAGTTTAGTTCGAAACAAATTTCAATTTCAGGTACAAAACCACTAGACTCACCACAAACACCGCTAGTGGTATCGGAGGCGCTACCCCCACCCCACCCGCGCCCGCCGTCGTCCCTGCGCCTCGACCACCGCGCGGCGCCCGGTGAGCGAGCGTGACCATCTCCAATACATTGCAGGTTTCGATACATGCCGCGAACACATTCCCCTAGCAAAACACCAATGTATCACTTGAAAATATCGAGCCGCGATAAATCTTAGTACCTGAATTCATTTCAATGCATTTAGCCTCAGATATCCAAACCTGCAGTGTTTTATTTTAATACTCTGTGCGTTCACTTTGTGCTGTTTGTAGTGAATGGAATCATAAAGTCGCTGTACTGAAGGATTCCATTTGAAATGTTGTGTAATAGAGCTTTATAGACTGTAAGACTCAGGACCATATGCGTAATTAGTATCATGCACTGAACACAATATGTGCAAGCTTTTATATGTGCATTACAGTAAAGCACTGGCTTTTAGCGGCTTCAGAACTTTGTGTTGTGCTTAACACAAACCACATGTTATTAAATTGGCGGTAATTTGTTGACATCTTCGAAATTGTTGCCAGTACATTTTCTTATAATTTTGTAATGCTAGCAAAGATTAAATTAAAATATTTTTAAGTTGATTATGTTTGACATATTTTTTATGTTTTATTTTATTTTTTACTGTGAACGTATGCAGCTTTTCAGACATATCAATATGGCTTTGAGTAATGCTTGCACAATATTTGATAAAAGAATAGTCAATAGATAATATTTTAATAAATTTATTGCCATAAACTATAATTTCAAGAAAACCAGAAATGAAAACCAGTTTTATAATGTACAGAGTAATTTATTTTGTTTGTGTGTTTATTTTGTTAATGCAAATCTATATTAATTAGTTTTAAAGCTAGTGAATAATACGTAGTTTTGTAAATACAGTATCACTATATATTATTTTAGGTGCTAATTTTCTGTTACCTACTTACATCCTATTTAAATTTTCGCCGTCATTTTTAGTTTTTAAAAGTCACAAAACATCTAAATATATCAAAGTAATATGCCTGAATATGATATAATATATACATACATATATGATAAATTTAATACAAAATGTAAGGCGACAGTTATCAGAACCATGATATTATGTGGTGGTGAGAAGTGACACAGACTGATGTCTCAAAAATTTAAGTTCCTTCTACTTAGATCACCTCGTAATTTATGTTTGGGGCAGCACGTCCCTAAGTAAATTATACAGGTTCTGATTAGGTTAGAAATTAACGTTCCGCGTACAAAATTCGCACCGCCGAAGATAAATTCCGAAAATACGCCCCGATTATGTTTAATCAACGATAAAATAAACTTAACTTTCGAATCTTTTTTTTCTATATCATCTTGTTCTGTTAGTCTGTGCCCGTTTTTAAAATTGCTGGACAAATGTCTATGAGAAGGATAATCATAAAGTCTGGAGCCATTTTTATTAAAAGAATATAGTAGTATGATTTTAGTTCAGTAGCTCTCTATATTAACATGAAATTTTAAATTAACTCTAAAATATTATATTTAATAATGTAATTTGTTCATAGAAATAAATAACTATATGAAATGTTATAGAATCTCGGTACCTTTTTGTTTTAAAATCAGTGAACTTTGTATGTGTCCAATACATTTATATCATTGTATGTACCTTTTAAGTTAAACTTTACTTATAATGATTATTAAATATATTCAGTTTTATTTTATTTTTGTTTTATTTTATTTTTGTGACGTTTCAATATTTTTTTTTATTTTCTTGCTAGTTAGTAGAAATAGATTATAGTCGTAAATATAATTCGAAGAAAGTAGTCATTTGGTCAATTTGAAAGGTGTTCGATAAATTATGGAAAATAACAAGACTAACCTGGGTAAGTGAACAATATTATTTGAAATTACTAATAATCACCATGTCCTGTTTTACTGCACCTGTTTCAATTGTTTTACATTTATGCTTAGTAAATATAGAGTATTTTTAAAATTTAAACACCTTATAAAAGGTTTCAGTGTTGCCCTTATAATTTTAATGCATATTTTGTTTTATATGCATTTTAGTTGGCCCTATTATACTACATAAATTAAAATAAAAAATAATATTTGACATTAATGACAAAAAAACAGTATCTTAAATTAATAATAATAATTGAATTAATAAATAACAAAGTAAAGTATTGTAATTAAAATTCGTAAGCTTGCCGTAAACAAAAATGTTGATAATTGCAGACTGGCAAGATTCCCAGCGATCGCTAAACCTGGGTGTAACAAAGCCGTCCCCCGGCTCTACTACGTTAGAGGACGTGCTCGATTCGCTTCTAGGCCTTCCTTCCCAACCTACGAGGATACCGACTCCTCAACCCAGTCCAAGGAAATCAGCTAGCCCATATTTTTTGTTAGGTGGAAAGGTATATGTTTGCGATATACTCTTAATCTAAACATACATATAATAAAATTCTGAGTCGAATCTGTACATTAAATGTTTTTTGGAAAATCTGATTGAAATAGTCATTATTATCGATACACAGGCCCAATCTATAGTTTTTAGAATTTTTGTCCATCTGTCTCTGTCTGTAAACGCATCACGAGAAAACCACTGGATGGATTTTGATGAAATTTGGTATGATGATAGCTGGTTCTGAGTCAACATTAGGATAGTTTTTACTACGGGAAAATATATTATCTCTGAAAAATCTATACTAACCGTTAAAACGTAACTAGGGATTAACCCAAACGGATAGAGGATGAGTCGCTAGTTCTTTACGATATATACTAAAACTATGTAATTGAAATCCGATTTCATATTTAAATTGTTTCATAAAAACTTACTTTTTTTATTTGAACTGTTTTGCATATTTCCATTTACACATACACACATAAATATTAATTCAGAACATTTAAAATTATATATATACGTTGATTGCTCAATATTCAGCACCCTTCCATACACCACTTACAGAGCCCGCGATACGAGCAACTAGCGAGTAGCGGCCATAGCAGCATCTCACCCGCCTCGCGCTTTATCAGTACACCGAGCGACCCCAGCTCATTCACCGACCCCAGTCCCGATCGACCAGGTAGGAACGATATGTAAGTCGAAACCGTTCCAATTTTTTTATATTCTCTCACCTTATTGCCTTACATTTTTATCCTTAAATCTTTCGCTTGAACTAATTTTAAGTTTTTAGGAATTGACGTCGAGGATCAATTATACAAAGAAGTTAACAGGTATTATGTGCCCCTTAATTGTCTTTGGTCGAAATTTGTGTCTACTTCCTACCATTTTTTAACCCTTTATAACCCCTATTTTCTGGCAGTAAATTTTATATTGTATATTCAAAAGGACTCATATATCACTGTAATATGCATGTCCCTGTCATAGACTAGAATGTTTAGTCTCCAAGCATGCCGTCTTGTCGTGTAGCATCTTGACTTAATTCTATAACATATATAACATTCTTGTTTATTTGCTATACGGTCCTGAGTCTTTAGTCATTTATCGTTATCGCTTTGATATTATTTAGTACTAATGTGCAAAAATTGCAGGGAAGGATACAGTTGATGGTCTGGGAACAATGCAGGAGTCTAGACGTCCGAGATCGGCGCAGGGCGAACATTCTAGAAGACGAAGTGAGCCCTTCGCCCATCCCAGTACGTCTTTAGACCGGCGCACGAGCCTCGACGCTGTCGCCTTTCGCCCCGAAATCTCTCATCATGATTCCAAAACCTCCCTCGCTTCATTACAAACAGAAAACAGTACTGAAGATACTTTTGTTAAATGCAAGTATCCAAAATGCTCCTCACGTGCTTCCTATACAGATGCCAAACGCCATTACAAAACTTGCCATAACTGCACCACTGTATATTGCTCCAAAGAATGTAGACGATCTCACTGGGAAAAACATAGGAAGGTTTGTTTACATTCCCGTGCAAGTACATTGTGCCGACAAATAATTTCAGCCGCTAAAGAAGACTCTAACTCCTTAACACAAATAAGTACAATTGCACATAAAGGATACTTAGCCCACGGGAGGGGAGTTGTTAAAGTCTTTTTTACAAGCCCAGAAGCAGCTGAAAAGTTTACAACTCACGGCTACCAATATTTAAGTGAGCCCGAATTTGTAAAATGGACATCACTACAACCTAACGAGATGGGTGCGGAATTATATACTGAAGTAGTAAAACTTTGTAAAGCTTATAATCCAGAGACGAGAGTAATCTTATACGTGGCTGTTTGCATAATTAGTGAGGTACCGACAAAAGGTGCTGTTAAATGGGAACGACAGATGGTATCGAGATGTGCGAAACTGCGTCTAAGTAAAATAGTATCCCAAGCGATTCAGGAACAAAATCGAAAACGTAACAGACGAGATAGCAAAGGAACACTTGAAGATCGAGAAACATTGATACTAACATCAAAACTCACCATTGCTGGGGAAAAGAACGCGGCAACAGCACACAAATTCCGAGAGATATGTTTTAGGAATATCTTGAATGAGTTAGAAGGTCGGGGGGTGATTTTGAAAAAGCATTTCCCAGAGGTGTATTCGAGGCTAGCGGCGTACGTGGACGGTACGAGTGACAGGTTCATTCCAATGACTATATACCCAAGGGACGCGAACAGTGGCAAGTCATTTGTGTGCGTGATTATACCGGACAGTGAAGCGGACAGTACACCAGTGGATGGGAAGGTCATTACTGTAGATGTCGGTGTTGACCGGTCAAAGCACCAACTGTCCACACCGATGTGATCCAGGTTTAATGTTAGCTTATTTAACATCAATGTATGTATATATTTCTGCAAAGGAAGAATATATTCGCTCAAAGCTAAGGTATTCTTATGAACGATTTTGGCTATTTCATATATCTCTTCTTCATGAGTCTCGTGTGTGGATTGATGTTTGATGTACTTCTTATGTACCTATTTCTCATATTATATAATGTATTTATTATGATACCTATTTTTTCTCAGTGTTATTGTAATTCCTAATACGTGAAAGACAAAATATGCGATATATTAAATATCTATAGGTACTTAATATAACTATTAAATTGTAATTTTACAAAATAAAGGCCGAATTATTATTCTTCATCACGTATATTAAATAAAAGATCTTCGCAAACAAAATGTCTATTTAAAAACAAAATTGTCAAATGTAGTCGATTATTCAGATATTGAACGATGGACTTTTAAGTTACATACACAAAAATATATTGTTACTATTTCAATAAAACATCTGAATGTCTAACATATTAGGAAATCTAAAAATTAGCATTTTTGATGATATTTTAATCTATAGGTACTTACCTTTGAAATGAAAAAGCTTTCAATTTATTATACAATTGTTGTTTTATTAGACATAATAGTTAGGATATAAAATCATATAGTATATTAGAATCTTTTTTAATTATTTTATTGTTATTGCCTCAATGTACATTGTACACGTGCGTATAAAAATGTGCTTTAAATGCAAAAAAAATAGTACACGTAGTGCGCTATTTTATTTCTGACAAGAAAATTAGTCTATTTAAAATGCCTGTCATTTTAGATTTTTGACAATACTATAAAGATAATTAATAACAAAAGAGTGTCATTAATTATTACATGTATTAATATTTAATATTATATAAAGAAGTTACAAATTATTAATTGATGTAATTTTTATACAAAGCATGCAAGCTTATCTAGTTATATGTGTCTTAATATTTTATTATATAATAATATTTTTTTCATCATTTTGCGTAAAATTAAAATACCTGCTTTTAAGCATGATAAATATAATAGGTACATAATATATAATTATATATTTTTAACGTTAAACGTTATTTTTATATTCACGGTAATAACAATCACCATCCAGTGAAGGAGGAAAAAAAAGTATATCAGACAGACACATCATCTCAATATAACCATATGCATTATTAAAATCATCAACTGCATCTCATTTGATTATTGATACATTAAGGTTTAAATAACGGCACAAAATTAAATTAATATTACTCCTGACAACAGTGCCAACTAATCAATTACTATTTACTGTGAAAGAGTGCTTGTTTGTTACTATAATAATTAATAAACAGATTATTAACATAAAGACTATTTTTTTAAACTGAATGTTAGTAGATCCTAGCAATGGAAAATATTATAAAATTAAATAATAGACAATAGTTATTAGTCTCATATTCTCATCTTCAAAAAAATAGATTTAAAATAAATTTACATTATTAAAAAATAAAATGTACCGCGTTCATTGATAAAATAAGTTAATATTTAAGATATTATGAAATTGCTAGGGTTCATTAATAAGCCATTTTGCAGAACGTCAATGTCAGAAACTTTTAATATTAAAAAAAATGAAGAGAGAATGGGCTAAATGATTTGAATGCCAGATTTCAAGCGATTTTTAATGTGTGTAACAGTTGAATGTGTAACATTTTAGACAAATCTTTCATACTTTGTATCTTTGGACGATTATAGGCAAATTGCGAATATATGTAGTACGTTATTGAACAAATACATTAAACAATATTCGATCAATGTTTGCATGTTGAAGCAAAGAAATATAACCTAGATATATTTTATAATTTGGCTTATAAACATTTTTTTTGAGTCATTACTATTTTTTATAAAAACTTCGGCAATACTACGTCTTATAATCGTCCGTACCTATCTGTCTTTGTTTTTCCGCAATTAATTGTTATTATTGTCATAATACTGTGGTGTTCAATTTATATGATGATGTCGTAATATAATGATATTGTCCTTTTCTATGTAAAAAAATGTCATAATAAAATATTAATATACCTACTTGTTCAAGATAGGTGTACCGTGCCTCGCCAGACTTCTTACCAAGAAAAAAATAATTTAAAATATTCGTTGACATAGTACTTACTACATAGTGCTTTATTTATTAGAACATTTAGAATTTATCTGTCATTTTGTTTTATTATAAAGATTATGATATAGTTAATAAAAAATGTACACTTGTTATTATTAAGTAACTCTTTGACATTCCTTTTAGCTAGCCTTCTTAATAAAGCATAATTTAGACATAATTTAATCTCTTACTATAATTATTTGTAAATCTCATAATTGAAAATGCCTCTTAAAAATGTTTCATACATTAATATACTTATATTGTTACCATATCAATTGTTTTTCATAGTCTGGTATATAGATTTTTTTATCTAGTTGTCCCTATGATGTACGTATTTCAAATAAACTATGCAGCTACTTCTTTTTTTATTTGCATAAATTATTACAATAACCATACCTATCCTGATTAAATAGGTAAAAAATACCCCAGTGCATGCCTAAAATTATTTATCAAATTTATAGAATTTAGCTTATCGTTATTAGGTACTCCGATTTCTTGTGTACTTACATCAATTTCCCGCTATTGAACAGTTTGATGGCGACCCTCCTTGCCGTAATGTTTTTAAAAACTATAGTGTGATGTATTAAACCTTTAGTTTACATTATAAAGTTCAAATTACATAGTACATCTATACTAATATTATAAAGAGGCAAAGTTCGTTTGTTTGTTTGTTTTTTTAATCTCAGGAACTGCATACTAATCGAAGATGAAAACTTCTTTTTGCATAAGTTGGCCGTCTGTTTATTGAGGAAGGCTAATGCTATATATCATATAATATATAGTCTATCTATTCCATACTAATCGTTAAAGTAAGTATGTAGTACGTACCTAGGAACGAACCCGAGCGAAGCAAGGGTGAGTCGCTAGTTTTCTAATATGAAGAAAGACTTATTTGTAATTTATAGATACCCACGTCTATTTAGTTCCTAATTTTTATTTTAATGTATTGTGTTCTTTATATATATGTACATACCTATATACTTATATAATGTTCAATGTTTATGAAATTACATAAAATATATGTTTTATATTAGGTACTCACCCTCGCTTCGCTCGGGTTCGTCCCTAGGTATATATATATTTTTTAGCGGAACCCTAATTCATTTACTGAAATAAAAGTAGCCTAAGTTACTCCTTATAACATCAAGTACCTGCCAGTGAACGTCCCGTCAAAATCAGCCCAGCCGTTTCGGAGATTAGCCGGAACAAACAGACAGACAAAAATTTAAAAAAAAAACTTATAAATACCGCTTATAATTCCTTAGGCATTTAGTAAAAAGCTGTTGTTTTGACATTACAAACAGACGCTTCAATTTTATTTATCTGTTTAGATGTATAAATTTCGTAAAATGGCATAAGTAACGTTCTGCGTAATAAGTATTTCTATATAGTTTGTGTGTTCAACTATTTTTTTTTTAGTAAAAATAGCCCACTCAAATAAACATTTAACCTTGGAATGGAAAGTGATTAGTACAAAAATTGTAGGTAGGTATATTATAATGCACTTTTGTAATGGCATTGTATTTATAAAAGTTTCAAAATTTCATATAATCTCTTGCCTACATTTCAATTATAAAAAGAAAAAAGTCACAAAAATCGTATATTTTAGGTAAATAATTTGTTTTCCTTGCCAGTATCATTTATGAATTACTCAATCATACTATCTTTATAGTAAGTACATAATCATAAATAAAGCATTACTACATACGGCATAATACTATTATATACTAAGGTTATGTGATTTCATTCTTCTTTTATTTCTAAGATCACATTTGTAGAAAATTTTATTCTGTCATGACTCATGACTTTAAATCTCATTTCGAGCAAAGATCACTAGATATTTACAAGCTAAAAAAATTCAAGACCTTTGAACTCTTTATGACTTGTGTTTAGGCACAAATGATAAAATATTTAGAAATTGATTAGGACAAAAAACTTTTTAACAAAAAATAAAAACCGACTTCCAGGCACTAAAATGTAAAAAATAACTAAACGGAGGTTTTTATTTCGAATAGATATACCTTTTTTTTTTATCGTCGGGAAATGTATTTACGCATACCACCTGATCCCCCAGGTGGTGATGTGGGGCTCACCGGCTAGAAGAGCCGGTACTACCCACTAAAACCCGACATCCCTTCCCCCCGCCTTAGTGGGACGCCGCAGAATCGCTCGCGCATAACTACTACGGCGCCCCGGCGGCAGGTCTGCCTAAACGCTAGGCAGACCACCAAACCAATGGGGCTGCTCCACAGTCAACTCTGCTACGCCTGAGAGGTACCCGGAGCAGCCCCATTAAACCAAACGCCGCCCACCAAAGCCATTTGGTCCGCGCCGGATTTCTTCGGTACCACCCGCCGCCCTAAGCGGGTGGCATTCCCCTATCCGCCACCTGGGGACGCGCCCAGTAGGAGTTGGCTTCTCCCCCGGGCGAATAGATATACCTAACCTAATCAGATATTTTCGAAGTTGGTGCCAGGCGGTGCAAAGCGAATGTAATATATTTAGATACATAAAATACATACTCGTAATATTTACCTATTAGATATTCATATCTTAAAATATTGTAGGCTGTAATCCGTGAACCGCTTTTTAAATACTTATTTATTTCCGAACGAAATTTTGACCTTTGACTTTGACATTAGTTTGACATTTCTACAAGTGTTTTCATTGGATCTTAATCCGTTCGAAGAGCGGAAAACGTAATTTTTATTTTTATTGTACTTATGTTACGACACTACGTACATTCGTAAAAATAAATAAAAATTCAAATAATACTTTGATATACTTTAAATTTGATATGGTGCCGACGAGTGTTATTTACGCAGCTGTACCTATTTCGGTAGTAGTTGCATTAGGTTTAATTCGCAAGTGGCGATCTAGAAAATGGGCGAAGTGTACGAGCAATACATGTTTGAGGGGCAAAACTTTTCTCATTACTGGAGCAAACAGTGGAATAGGCTTAGAAACAGCGAAGGCTCTAGTTAAAAGAAAGGCGCGAGTAATATTTGCTTGTAGGGATATTGAAAGTGCAAAAGAAGCGATCGCTGTAATAAGAAAAGAACAACCAACAGGCGGTGAACTGGTAAGTTCAAAACAAAAAAAAATACAGCCAATATTTTATTATAAAATTTAATTTTCATGGCCATTGTTACCCACCAATTTTAGTAAATAATATATATTTTCTTTCAGATTCCTATGCACTTAGACCTGGCATCATTTGATTCTATAGAAAAGTTTGCTACAGTTGTTAAAGCTGGTTTTTACAAAATAGATGTGTTAATAAACAATGCTGGTGTGTCTATTCCAATAAAACTGGACCAAAAAACCAAGGAAGGTTTTGAAATTCATCTAGGTGTAAATCATTTAGGACATTTCTATCTCACTAATTTACTTCTAGATCAACTTAAAAAGGCTTCACCAAGCAGGTAGAGAAATATACTTTTATACCATCCTAAGCAAATATCACTGTAATAATAAACATTAAATATGATTTATACATAAAATGCTCTAAGAAATATTACTCTTTGCAGAATTGTTATTGTATCATCAACTCTTCATGAGCGGGGAAAAATAAACTTCAATGATTTAAACCTTAGAGCAGAAATTGAAGATGCTAAAAAAGGCAAAGCTGGCCGTATGAATCCTGGATATTGTAATTCAAAATTGATGAATGCATATTTTGCAAGAGGATTAGCTGCGAAATTGAGAGACGAAGGAGTTGATATATACACATGTTGCCCTGGTTTCTGTTATACTAATTTATTCAGGTAAACTTAATTCTTATAATGAAATAACATTAAGTATAAATTTTACACACTCTTAACAATCTGTATTTAATGACGCCATCACTGCTTTTTTGCTAATTCTAACCAATGACAGACATAAAAAATGAATTACTGTATAAAATAATATCACCACCATATAACATTAAATATGAAACAATGTCTTTATAATTTATGTTGCTCATGAATCATTAAGTCTGAATTTGATAATTGAGTTACTGCCTATACCAACATGTAAAACATTCTCATTGTTTTTTTACTTACAAGGATTTCTATATAATACTAGCGACTCACCCTCGCTTTGCTTAGGTTCATTCCTAGGTGATTCTTTAAATTAACATTACTTTTTTATTTATGAAACCTTTGAAATAAAATAAATACTAAATGTTAAATGAAGCTTACCACAATACATTTGTGAAAACCGTACCCAAATCCGTTAAGCTGATTCTGAGATTAGTGCTCACAAATGCACAGACAAATAGACAAAAATTCTAAAAATCATTGTTTTAGGTTCTATTGTATTAATAAAGACCCCCCAATAATACTTTTCAAATATCTTCCATGTACTGACAACAATCAGTTACAATTTAATTATATGTATAGGTGTTTATCATATTAGAGGTCAATGGGACATTTATATCCATTTTTATCTACTTAACACTTATTACAATATCACATTTCTTATCAGGGCAAGCTTTTAAAGGCATGTGATATTTGTATTTTATAATACCAAGAGACATTTTCTTGCTTAAAGTTATTTTTTACATTGTTTATTTACAGTATATGTCAATTTAGTGCAATTTAAGTCTAAAATCAAAAAATATTATTGAATAAAGCTTATTATGTTATCATGGAATATCTTGTAGATGTGTGGGACAATTTCTGGTTGGGTCTGACTTATGATAAGTAGAAAATTAATGTATATTAAAAGAGCAACTGTTGAGCACCTTGCCTGCTCCACTCAGCTGGACCACCTTCATTTTAATTTTAGAAATGTACAATGTGATTATTAAAAAGTGATTAAAAAATTATTTTCGAATAAAGTGTTTTAGTATATAAGATATTACAAATATGCAGTAGAATATTTCAATACAATTGCAGTATCCATACTATATTATAAATGTGAAAGTGTGTTTGTTTGTTTGTCCTTCTTTCACGTCAATACAGAGTGACGGATTGGCGTGATTTTTGTGTGGAGATAGTTGAAAGTCTCCACGTTACAGAAAACACGTTATAATACAACCCACAACAACTCATCATAACTATATATATAAGTATATACTCCATACTATCCATTAAACATACCTAGGGACGAATCCGAGCGAAGCGATGGTGAGTCGCTAGTTTAAAATATATGAGTGTTCAACCTAATTAAGGCTTGTTAAGTACTACAAATTACAAACCAACATTATCGTGCACTTCACGAATATTACCAAAAATAGAAACCAGTCTATGGGCTATGTCACTCTCAGCTGAAGTTGGTTGAAAAGATGGAATTAAGCATGGATAAAACAAAACTTAGTTAAGTCATTTTTAGAAATTTAGCATAGGTATTTGAAGAGAATAAAAAAATAATAATTTGGTACTGTATAAATAACTGTTTGTACTAACTAATTATTATTTGGTAGCTTTTTGTAATCAACAGATAGACATTTCTAGTTTATGTATAATTATTCTATCTCACGATACAATAGTAATTAATAGTCAATTTTTAAAGTGACCATTTCATATCAATATTTGTATATGATGAACATTTAAGTACTCTAAAAGTTTTAAGTTTTACTTCTTTTGGCAAGTTTGGAACAAATTATGAGAGTATCATTTTTACGATGCGCGCGCACCGATAGCCAAAAAGCGACATGATGAAGTTAGCTGCGTTCCTTTTACAAACAGAGAGTTGTGACATATGCAATGAAATCTTTAGCTATTTTTGTTCCGTTACGCCAAAGAAGTATAACTTCTTACGTGCGTACATAAGTACAGACTACACACACACACACACATATTTTTATTAATTTATTTGTATGTGTTACAGGTATTTTGCAAGATGGTACCATTACATTTTGATGGCTCCCATCGCCTTTCTCTTCATGAGGTCCGCTAAGCAAGTAAGTAATTATTAACACGGAATGTTAACAACACTAATGATAAAGGTCAACTAGCTAGTGCATTGTGAAATGTTGAAAAATGTAGGGTTACCATTTGTTTCACTTTTATGGACATGTCCAGAAATTATTATACATACCATGAAAGTTCCGACTAACTGCGTTGACGAAAAATATGATCGAAAATAAATGTCTAATTGATTGATAAGTAAAGTCCTTACAATATTTCTGGTGTTTAATCTCATAAAAACAGGCGGGCAGTGAGTGCACACTGCAAGTGCCTAGTGCACTATTCTTTACTGATAGTCCAGTGGGGCGACAATGCAACAAATCTTTTTGAGGCTGCCTTTATTAAGCAAGAAACATTATAACTATTCTTGAGCGACATAAAGAGCATTAAAAATATATATATTTTCATTTTTGCTACATTTCCTTGTGATAATTTCTACGTGCTTACTGAATCTACTGGTTAGGTGAGATTTGTCATAAACGAGCAGACACATTATATTTTTATTTAAGGAGGATTTATGATTATAGGCCATTTAACAATATGTTCCATTATTAAATGTATATGATGGTCACACTATACATGTGTATTAAAAGCATACTAAAATATGCTTTACAAAAATACATGAGTAGTTACTACTATGTTTCTAATAATAGAGTTGCGCCACACGTAGGTACGGTACTGCTTTAATAGAACGTTTAGGAATGATATTACCGATTCAAATTAGTTTCTGTTGAAATAATAAATAATATTAATATTATATAATCCATTAAAAATTAAATATATACCTTTTAGTAATATACTAGCGACTCACCCTCGCTCCGATCGGGTTTGTCTCTAGTTACGTTTTAACGTTTAGTATAGATTTCTCAGAGATGAGATATTTTTCCGCAGTAAAACGTATCCTACATGTTTACTCGGATAACCAGCTATCATCATACCAAATTTTATCAAAATTTGTCCAGTGGTTTTCTGTGATGCGGTCACAGACAGACAGACAGACAAAAATTCTAAAAACTATAGATTCGGCTTCTGTATCGATAATAATGACTATTTTAATAACATTTTCCAAAACATATTTAATATACAGATTCGACTCAGTTAGAATTTTATTATAGGTATAGAGAAATCGGGAGTCGTATTTTTAACAAGGATGTATGAGTTAGCATCAAAAACATTCTGCGCACCGACCACTGGGTGCGTTAATTCAGTGCTCTGATATTATTGAATATTAAATCAACTGTATATTATTATTAAATTCAAGTTTTACATCTAATTTATTTGGTGGAAAATTCGCACAAGAAATTTTAGGTCATATCCAATCTAATACCTTCTTACATGCCTACATTTTTTTTATTGTTAAACTATAATAAGATAAAAGTAATTATCCAATATATAAATATCTCGTTTCACGGTGTTTGTATGATTTTTTTTGTATATTTGGTAGGTATGATAATAGGTCGTAAAGTATTTTTCAACCTCCTACCCCCACTCCTCATTTTTTAATCGCGATTTTAGTATTTTTGTATGAACAATATTATATAAATAAAACATAGCGCCGAACCCGAGCGAAACGAGGGTGAGTCGCTGTATAATTAAATAAATAATATAAAAATCGCTAAATAAATAATAATCGCTGTTGATTAAGAAAAAGCCAAATAGTTTTTTTTTATAGACTGAACGCGAGCGTAGTCACGAGTTCTGCTAGTAATACGTATAAAATGACTGCTTCTCTCAAAATCTTACCGGAAATGTAACTGTTTATGATAAAAACAAAAGTCATTTGCATGTTGTACTTTGTACCATCTGATTACGAGTGGTAATGTTTAATATACTTGTATAACTACTACATTATACATACTTTTTATAATATTGTCAGTTGTGTTTTCATGAGAACTAAAATATTTTTGCTTTGTGGGTGGGTTATATAAAAAAATAATACACGTTTAATGATAGAAGGAGATAGGTTGCAGAAACCCCGTCACTTCGGTTTTCGTTTTATAAACTTTGTATACTCAGGGTCGGATTTAAAAGTGTAGTGACCCTGGGGCAAAAAAGAAGTAGAGACCTTTAAATTTTAATAATACTAATATTTTAAACAAATGAAATTTTTTCCTAACATTTTTTTGTTAAGTTTATATGTTGCAAAACGTGCAGATCTTATATAATTATAAAATAAGTACAAGTTTACAAAAATGAATTCAATGATTTTACATAAAAAATTACTGTGGGAATCGTAATTAATCTCACCTCTAAATTCAACTCTACCTATACTAAACGTCGATTCAGAGCATTAAATAAATTTTATTTAATAGGACTAATGTAAGGATTGGCACTACTAAGTATACCGAATAGATTTATGTATAGGGCTATATTCAATGTAATGGCTTGTAAATGTGTTAACAGGCGGACCTTGTATGTAATATTTTGAACCTTCCTAATTTTTTTTGAATACAAGTAAATCCAATGATAAATATTCAAGTCAAATCAATTCAGTATCAAGTACCTATGTATATGTATGAATTTGTATAACAATTAATAGAGATGGTAGAGAAACATTCAGCGGTATTGCAGCCGTTTCGTAACAGCCCAGAGTTCGGGAGGTTGACAGTGTTTCACCCCCGTGCCTGGGAGAGTTGTACACTATATCTTCTGCGTAGATGGCAAGTCTCATAAACATAAAGTAACAAAAATGATATTTTTTTTAATTATATAAAAATAAAAAAAAATGAACATACTTACATCGATATAGTAATAAACTGTTAGATAGTTAGGAGATTGGACGCCAGGGCCGAAATCGGTCGGGAGGACATTATTATTTCTTAGTTGTAATTGCTAGTTTACTCATAGGAATGCCCCTTAAATTGCTAACTTATTTTATTTCGATGTAGACAAAAAGAAAAAAAGAAAAAATATAAATGTGCATTTCACACATCGTAGAAGTGAAACTTCAGAAAATGATATGAATATAGAGTATCAGGAGTAGGATAATCATAAGGATTTTTTTATATTATTTTTACCAAGTTTAAAAGTTATTTTACATTTTATTTGACATAAATATAAACATTACATAATAATCAGTAATGAATTTTATTATTTTTCACTTCCTGTGTAATGTATTCTATCAAATAACAACGGTTACCATGACAACGTTTACCATGGCATCATCGCAATGTATTCTATCTCATTCTATCGCCGGCTTAATCCTATATATTTATATGTTTGTCTCTTTTTACTGTCGCATTTCCGTTGCATCGAGTTTCAAATCACAACGATTCTAAAGAAGTTTCACTTCAAAAACTTGTAACCTTGCAAATAGTTGCCAACTTGCATCTCCTGAGCAAACGACCTTCAACATTCGGCCCAACAACTGCCGCCCGGCTCCTGCGTAGTACCTTCACTCGATATTTTTCATCGATTTCTGAATATTGGTCCAATACAAAAATGATATTGACCTTTTAAAAAAAATGTGTAAAATAGTCATTAAATAAACGTAAAATTACTTGTAATTCACGTGTAGATGCTAAGAATAAGAAAAATTTACATGATGTTTATTTAAAATTTTATTTCTTTAGCAGTGAGGACCTAAAAAAACAATATTAATCGTGTAATATGACGGTAAAATGTTGAAGATAGGTATCATTTTTTTTACATTTACACAATAGCTTCGTAAAACGCGTTTAGCGCAGCATTTGGTAGGCTATTGGCCCTTAATGATAACCAGTAACGGGTGCTACTGCTGATGTATGCCAATATTCTACGTAAGGGTACATAAAGGGTAGAACTTCGCTAAAGACCCGGTAATTTTTACGTTTGATATCTTGATATCAGACTTCATCAGGCAATTTTGTATTTTCTGAATTTTCTTCATAATATGTAAAATGATGCAATAGACACTCGAGTATTTTGTTATCGATATTGTTGAGTTGGCAGTGGTAGCCCAGTGGTAACGCACTCGCTTGGGAAACCGAATGAAGTGAGTTCAAATCCCGGGTCTCGCACCTCTGATATTTTCATGTGCGAATTATTTCCGACATGATTACCACTTGTCTTAAAGGTGAAGGAAAACATCGTGAGGAAACCTGCATGTCTGAGAGAATCTAGCAAATTTTCAAAAGACATGTGAAGTCCGCCAACCCGCACTTGGCCAGCGTGGTGGACTATGGCCTGATTCCCCTCGTGCTGAAGGGAGGCCCGTGCCCAGCAGTGGGACGTTAAAAAGGGCTGAATACATTGTTGAGTTTGTATGGCAGATAAATATCGTTAGTTACCGTAAAATAAGCGTATTAGTCATCAAATTAGGCCGACAGTCCTTTAAGGTAAAGTCCTTTATAGGTACATACGCACATAAGTGTAGTACGTCCCATAACAACGTCTTTTAATACATGGCGATATAAATATTAAATGATTGCTGGCTTTTCATATTAAAGATAACATCATAACGGCGTTCTTTATCAACAGGATTAGGAAAAATAATCTCGAATATACAGATACTTATTTGTCGCGCTATATATTATGTAGGTATTTCATTCAATAAGTACTTATAGAAAACTAGCATTCATTGCCCGCGGCTCCGCCCGCGTTCAGATAACCAAAAACCAAATTCTTAGGTTTTACATATTAGTATACTCTTACAATGCAGTTTTTGTATTATTTCTGAAATGAGATATTTTCCCGCGGTAAAAAGTATCCTATATGTTGACCCGGATAAGCAGCTATCATCATACCAAATTTCATCAAAATCCGTCCAGTAGTTTTCTCGTGATGCGGTAACAGACAAACAGACAGACAGACAAACAGAAAGACAGACATACAGACAAAAATTCTAAAAACTATATATTCGGACTCTGTGTCGATAATAATGTATATTTCAATTAGATTTTCAAAAAAATATTTAATGTACAGATTCGACTTAGTTACAATTTTATTATACGTATAGATAATATTTTATCTAAATACTACAATAATTATAGAACAAATTGATTTAATCTTATTATCCTCCGTGATATATTATGTATTTATGAAACACTAGCAGAACCCGCGGCATCGCTCGTGCGAGAACTAACAAAAAAATCTCTAAAAATGTAGTTTCATACAAACTTTTGATCCCCTATTTTACTCCCTTATAGGATGAATTTCGAAAAATACTAAAACACGTATTTAATTAATTTTATTGAAGAGTATATAGTACCAAGTAATACCAAGTTTCAAGTAATTCTGGTCATAAATATTTTTTTGGATTGTATTATAACGTGTTTTCCCTTGGGAATTAGATGATTTCTCGCGGTAAAAAGTAGCCTATATCACTCTCCAGGCCTCGAACTATCTCCACACAAAAAATCACGCCAATCCGTCACTCTGTTTCGACGTGAAAGAAGGATAAACAAACAAACACATTTATAATATTTGCGCTACGTACGTTTAATATATTTAGATAAAAACAGTTATTTTGAGTGTGCTTTAGGTGATAGACACATGATATTGCGAACTTTTCTCTAGGTTTTTTTTAAATCTGAAGTTTTGATGTATAAAGATTTAGTCAGCGTTAGCCATAAGTATATAAATTAAGGACAACTCGACAAAGTTATTTTTGTGTTTTCCCGTTGGAATGAAATATTTTCCTGTAGTAAAATGTATCCGGAATGTTGACCCGAGTAATGAGTTCAGTATATTGCGGGAAATATACTGAGATATACAGAGAAACAGACATACATTTCAATAACTAATGTTTTGGGGTCTATTTTGTAAACAATACGTAGCAGTCATTATTTTAAAAAAATATTTCATATACAGATTTCGCTTTGTTCTGTGTCTGTCTGTGACCGCATCATGGAGGGATTTTGATGAAATTTGGTATGATGATAGCTGGTTATCCGGGTCAACGTATAAGATACTTTTTACTGTGGGAAAATATCTCATCTCTGAGAAATCTATTCATATAATAAAATTGTAACTAAGCCGAATCTGTACATGAAATATTTTTTGGAAAATCTGACTTTTTAGATTTGGAGACTTTATTATCGATACAAAGGCCGAAGCTGTAATTTTTTGAACTTTTGTCTGTGCATCTAAGAAAGTAAGGGTTAAGCCGCTATTAACTAAATGAATACAATATATAGGTATTCAAATATTTAGTCAAGGTTATATTTACATTTTTTAAAAGTAATAATAACTATTAAAAATTACAGAAATAAATTATAATTTACGTTATGATAATTGTATTGCATTGGACTCATAACAAAGATATAAGCACAAAATAAAGAGGTTCACAGGTAGCCAGGTTCGCATTTAGGGGAAGGCAATTTGGTCTATAGCCCCTTGCGGGGGCCCGGGGACATTAATGGGACTATAATATATAATATAGAACCTATAATAGAACTTTTAGAAACCCATTCTTGAATTAACAAACGAAAGCCAAAAAACTCCCACTTTTAAATCTGCCTATAAAGAGTTCAACTACCCTTTTCGGACTCCATTATGTATGTTAGATACGTACCAACTTAATTGTATACATGACAAAGTATTGCAATTCAAAGCATATTTGCAGTTTGTCAATCGATATAACAATAATTTAAAGGAAATGAAATGACAAATTAAAATGGTCATAGATAGCTTCATTATTTAATACAATTAGATATTATGAGTAGGTACTTGATATATCTCTTTATATATATTCGTATAGTATGACGTTAGCAATACAAAAATACATACCTACTCAGTATTCTGCCCGTCTGCCTGACTTATCGCTCCGAGTGCAATTACGTCTTGAATAATTAACATCTATAATCTTATTTTATAATTGGTCGTTAATTAAAATGCATTTTGTAATTATTTTTTCCTTTTTATAGTTCAATTTTACACTAGGTATAAAATGGAAAGTACTCGCAAATTATGCTTAGGAATATTTTATTTGGTTAATTAATTATTAATCAAAATTATATTTTTAAATATATTTAAAAAAACAATAACAAACCTATACCACGGCAACCGTACATATTCTGGGATGAAGAGTAGCCTGCCTTCCAGACTGTAATCTATCTCTGTGCCAAATTTCATCCAGGTCCGTTCAGCCGTTCTGGCGTGATAGAATAACAAATATCCATACATACTCACAAACTTTCACATTTATAATATTAAATATGGAAATACGGACTAGAAACTTACTCTCGCTTTGCTCAGGTGTGTAACAATAGCCTATACGATTACCTATTTGTGTACTAAATTTTATTCAAATCTGTCCAACGTTTCACACACACAAACTATCACAATTATTTAAGTGTTCGGATTGGTAGGTCCCTTATACGGGGGCTTTTATTTTGACAAAATATCTATACTAATATTATAAAGAGGCAGAATTTATTTGTTTGAACGCGCTAATCTCTGGAACGACTTATCCGATTTGAAAAATTCTTTTTGCATTAGATAGCCCGTTTATTGAGAAATTATATTATAGCTATATATTATCATACTACCCAAGGGAGCGGAGCAGTACCCATAAATGTCAACAAATCGGGCAGTCTTGAGTCAAACAAATTTAAAAATAAGTAAAGAATAAAAATGCGTATATTTTACAATATTTTGTATGTGTACAAAATTTGATAGTTTAAATTTTTCAGGGTTCAGAGACAGTGGTATATTGCGCCTCCGATTACAATATCGAAGGTCAAACAGGTAAGTTCTACCGCGATTGCCAAGAATACGTGTCAAAATATCCATTCAACAAGGAAGAAGAAAATAGATTATGGGAAATCAGCGAAGAAATGATCAAGAATAGGGGACCTTTACAGAATTAGGTGCCCTTCACATTAATGCGATTTGATGGTCTACTTTTACAAAAGTATAATAATGGCAAATAATAATATATGAATATCTATTTGTTCCTCTTAATTATTGCTTTTTCATTTTTTAAATAGTATAAGCAAATGTAGCGCAATATATAATTACATATCAAACCGAATCATTATTAATTACATCTTTATATCTCTGTATTAGTTTAGATTTAGTTATAAGTACCTACGTAGTGTTCGTTTTGTTCTATTTTTTTATTAGTTTATTTAGTTTATTTTTTTGGTGTTACAATAAATATTGTATATATTCTAAAAATTATACAAAAGTAAATTGACAATAATAATATTGTTTACCCCGAATAAAATTTTAATAAAACAGTTAGACTTTGATATTTTTAAATATGTATAAAAAAACATCTGTTATTCACCATTTAAGAAAGCCAAATTAGTATTAAAATTCAGACTTTCTCGTATGTATCTTAAAGGTTGTCATATTTTTTACCTAATCTCAAAATTTAGGAGGACCCTAATTTAACACGTTCAATGCCACGATTTTCATGATATCTTTAATCTAAATCAAGATCAACCTTAACTTTTTTTTAAACTAAAAAATAATACTTTTTCATCTGTTATATTTTTTTTGTCTACTATTCGAATAATATGTTTGTTAATATTTGTTCATTGTAAAAGATTTGTATTAAATGGTTAATGTAGATCATATTCCAAAGATGTATGGTTATTGTATAAATTATTAAAATATATAACTTTCGGGTATTTATTTGTGTTTCATTTTTATAAAATCTTTTATTAAAGCTTCTAAAGCAGTACTATAGCAGGTGGCTTTGCTCACGTTACCATACAACAATTTTCTAAGTACAACAAAAAGCTTATTAGCCTTCCTATTATACTTATTACCACACATTATTTCGTTTTCCTTTACCTAGAATATTTTTTAAAACTTTTATGGTGTCAATTTTTAACCGACTGCGATAAAGCCCAAAGGAGGTGCTCGGCCTGTATGTATGTATGTATGTATGTCCGTATGTCCGACCCTATAGAGATAATTAACAAAGAACATAGGTTCTTTGTTAATTACTAAAAGCCGTTATATACGATTTGATAACGCGAGTGTCTTAGGATATATGTACAGTAACGAGCTAAATTTGATGTGGGCAAAGTATATTTTGCGAGGCCCTTAGGTGGCGTACGACGACGAATTTTTAAAAATATTTTACAAGCTTTTATTTAACTTGCAATGTTTGTATGTTTGTTTGTTCGGGTCATCTCAAATCTTGCAATTCAATTTTAAAGCAGTTATCTTCAGTCGATGGAGCTGAAATTTTGCATAGACGTTTAGTTTGTATGAAAATGCATGGTTAGCAAAGTGACGTCATTCTAAATCCCATATGGCGGACTTTCAATGATCGCCATCACTATTTTTTATGCACCCCATCATATAGATATCATATGAAAAAGTTTGCTGAGAAGAATACGAATTAAATAAAAACTAAAAAAATAAATGAATAGTACAAAAACAAAATTAATTTTCAATTAAACCCACCAATTTATTACATTACACAATTTATATTATATAAAAGCTTATCGCGAGATTTATCTGTGCGGACAAACAAAATATGTTTCCGACTGCTTAATATTATGTTCTTTTTCATACGCTCTATATGTTACGTGTTCTTCAAGGCGAGGCCCTTTGGACCGCGAGGCCGTGGATAATGGCCCACGTCGCCCACGCATTACGCCGCCTCTGTATATGTATAATGTATGTATATAGATAGGTATCATTAAAAATCACAATGGCGGATCATAGGCGGCAATTTGTCTCAAAAAAAAAATTGAATAAGGTCGTTAAATCAGTAAAAAAGCGATTTTAAAATAAGAAAGCCTTTTTATTCTTGAATTAGTTTTTAAAACCCATTCAACCCCAGCAACTGGTGATGCACCACTCGCACACGCGGTGTTACCCCTGATTATTTTTTATACTTACGAGTTACGGTACACATTGTGAGATAAAAAAATTGTTAAACATTCATTAACAATATTCTATCAAAAAGGATTCATTTGATTTTACCGAAACAACTCTTCCCAAAACGAAGAATATATCAAAGCAGGTAGAAAATGTACAAGAGTGTACACGTACCTACCTACCTACAGCAATTTCCTTAACTACTAGGTGTGAGAAATAGCAAACTATAAAAGTGAAGGTTATATTATTTCACTGTAGGAGAAAATAAAAAAAAAACAAAACTATTCTCATCATTTATATTGATCCCTCAAAGGTATCTTTAAATCACAGCTTATTAATAACTTTAGTTCTAATCAGACGTAGCTAAAAAAAAACAAAAACTAATAGCTTGCTTGAAAACGGTGAAATTTAGGCCAAAACTAACTACGCCTAATGTTAAAACTATGATCTTAATCATACATCTATAAAGTGTGCTGGATTATTATAAACAGATTCTTCTCCCAAATATGGCTAGACTCAAACAAAAAAAATAAGATATACGAAGCGTATACAACAATAAGCAACAAAACAGTTAATTTCACAAAAAAAAAGCGAAGCAGCTGTAATTATATAATTTTAGACTTCATTTATCTTCTGTAAGCTCCGTCCATCTTATTCTTTTAATCTGAAGTTACAGTTTAAAAAACAACTAACATTTTGTATTCAAATACTTTTATAATCTGGTTACATTTTTGTCTGCAGTAATTTTTAATTTATACAGTTAATTAGGCGCTAAAATTTAACAAAACGCAAACTTGCATCTTAACATAAATTATAATAATGTTAATCATTTAGAGACTTTCAAGTAAATGTGCTTTATATAATACGGTAACCATAAAGCTAGGCACTTAGTGAAGACATTTGAAAACACAACATGGCCGTCAGCCCTTTTTATTTTTTATATGAAATTTTATGATTATAACATGAAAAAGCAAGGCCACTTAAGAGCCGACAGCCTTTCCCATTTATACATACATAAACCGTAAAAAAATAGAAGTTATTGCTTAGTTCATGTTAGTTCGTTCATGTTACGCTTGTGAAGTTAGCTGCAATTCAACACTCAACTTACAAGACGTTAATGTATGCACTGGAAGATATCTACGTAATATCATATTCTAGGCTCTAGGGTAAATATAATATAATATTAAGAATTGTTAATAATTTATGAATAATATAAGACACATAACATAATAAACAATGCTCTCGAATTTCAAGAAGCCAACTTCACTCAATAAATAAATATTAGATAATATGTTGGGTCATTAACACACAACACCATCTAGTTCCATAGTAAGCTACGAGGCTTGTGTTATGGATACCAGATAGTTGATACACTACACATATATAACTTTAAATATATATACCTATACATATTATAAATATAAACACCCATGACTGGAATACAAACATTCGTGCTCTTCACATAAATGAATGACCCCAGCGGGACTCATGCTCGGGACCGCTGGCACAGCAAGTAGGGTCACTACAAACTGACCAAACGTGTCGTTTGAGAAATAGATATAGAGTACATATTTAAGCTGTACGATTCCATGCTATATAGTAAGCATCGAGTGTGACCGTATTAGTGCAGGCATTGATAAAAGGAAAGTAATTAAAACATTCAAAAATGATCCCAGACGATACCAATGATAAATATTTAAATTTTCTATCACAATCACTCAGCCAAATAATTTAAATGTACATACGCATTACGTATGCATTTTTGAATTATTCATTAAACAAATTGTTTTTGGATAATAATTCAAAAAAGGTAACTTCACAATCTAAACCTCTTTTATAAATGCAAGCGCATTAACTAAGCCATTTTAACTAACTATATTTAGTAATTTAAGGAAAACGTTTCGTTCAACTTTGAAATGACACAAAATAATGCCAAAGTTACAAGCAGTTTATATTCTAAAGTACATATATAACTTATTTTTATGTTATCTTGGACAATAAAGGCTTATAATTATTGTATAACTTGTTATATAGCTATTATATATGAAACATGCTCCGCTTCACGCTTCATAACTCTCAATTAAAATTAATTAGATTTTTAATTCTATACAACGGTATATAATATAGCATTAACAAACATGGTTATATGAATTGCAAAAGTGCACTTAGTATATACTTATTGTAGGTTACATAATATAGATTCATTTGCATATCCTAGTAAATACTTAAAAAATTCCTCAGCTGAAAATATTATACACTAGCGACTCACCCTTTGTTGATTCCCCATACAAACTTTCATCCCCATTTTCACCCCCTTAAGGGATGGTTTCCGGGATAAAAAGTATCCTATGTCCTTCCCAGGGTCTCAAACTATCTTCTTACCAAATTTCCTCTAAATCGGTTGAGTAGATCCAGAGATTACCCCCTACAACCTCACAAACAAACTTTGCCTCTATAATATTAGTATACATTGTTAATTTAAATTGTTAACGCAAAGAGTTCCTTCTAACCCTAAAAATTAAAATAAATGTTATTTTTATTTTATAATTTGGAGATTTTGGACTAATAATTATATATTAAGAAATATAAATACGATGTCGTTTTAGACAAACCAAAATAAGCTAAAGATTGTATATAAAAGTATGTAATTAAATTGATTTTAAAGTAATTGCAAATATCAACAATCTTTGGCCTTATTAAATATATATAATATTTTAATTCATCATTTTATAACAATTTACGTCGAAAATGGAACTTGTTAAAAAGCAATTAAAATTTATGTTTCCTACAGACGATACTACAGAAATTAACCCCAAAAAAAGAGTATACGTAGATAAGAAGTGATAAATTAAAAAAAAATCCCGACCATCTTGGGCCAATTTTCATCAAACAGCCAAGAAAACTCTCGACTAATTCACCTTTCAAACAAAAAAAAAACAAAATCAAGATCAGTTCATCCGTTCGAGAGCTACGATGCCACAGACAGACACATAGACACACACACACGCACACACACAGACAGACGACGTCAAACTTATAACACCGCATCGTTTTTGCGTCGGGGGTTTAAAATTAAATATATATGTAAATTGTAATAAATTCACAACCAAATCAAAGTAAAACAATTTGTTGTCATCACAGTATACAAATTATTTTAAATCTTACATCCCTTATTATTTTTCAAGGATTTCATTCAATTGAAATGAGACAAAATGTTAAAATTTAAATTATTTAAATGAAAATAAATATTTATTTTATAAATATTTACATAATATGAGAGCAACTGAAAAGAATACTGAAAATTGGCATATTTCAAACTTTACTATTATTCTTTAACGTGACGTTTTTAATTTATTAAAGATGACAAAATAAAAATAATGTTCTGTCAAAGAAAAACATACGAGATCCATTACAAAATGGTTGCAGTCGACAAATAGTACAGACGTGTGTAATATATGTATAACTAACATTGCCCGCGGCTCCGCCCGCGTTTAGATGACCAAAAACCAATTTCTTAGGTTTTACATATTAGTTTACTCTTACATTGCAGTTTTTGTATTTTTTCTCAGAAATGAGACATTTTGCCGCGGTAAAAAGTATTCTATATGTTGACCCGGATAACCAGCTATCACCACACCAAATTTCATCAAAATCCCTCTTTAATGTACAGAATCAGTTTAGTTACAATTTTATTATATGTATAGAGTCATAGATGATGACAAAAAGAAAATAAATAATATAATAACAAAATCCAAACGGAATTCTTGTATAATTATAAAAACTATTGTAAAAAATTTAAACTATTAAAAACAATTTACAGTAAAAACTATTACAACAACTAAATCTAATATACGGTGTTCGTGCAAATTACAACTATCTCTCAGACTAATATAGACAGAGTCCGCCAAAACAAATGTCAAAGTCAAAAATAGTAGCGCGATTTGCTGTTTAATTAAGCTACTATTCTACAAACTTTTTTTTTAAATTAAGAAAATTTTATATATATAAAATAATTTTAAAACATTATTTTTTTATATAATTATTTGGCTTCATGTTTAGTTCCATAACACTCTGTCTATATTATTCCTTAGTCTGAGAACTATTTCTATTCCAAATATTTAATCTAACACATTAAGAACTAAGGTGACTTTTATAATAACTACTCGAGATAACTTGAGATAAATATTATACACTATAAATACAAATAGCATGTTTTTTTTAAATTACGCTTTTCGCTTAGGCATTTGAGGCAAGTAAAATAAATGTCAGGCAGTTTAAAACCAATTAATTATCTGTATATAATGTGGTGGAGTGGCTATTATGTACGGCAAGAGGTCCTGGGTTTAGTCCCGGGTCGGGCCAAGTTTAGCTATTGAGTCTTTCTGTATATATAGTAAGTCTCAGTAACAGCCCGGAGTTGGGAAGTTGGCGGTGTTTCACCCCCGTGCCGAGGCAGAGCACGTAAAGCCGTCGGTCCTGCGCATTAATTCTCACCAAGCGTCGATACGATACTTCGATAAGTATCGTCCCACCGGAGTATTAAATGACAGGAATAGAGAGTGCACTTTTGTCTGCACTGTAATATCTCCTGCGCTAGTCTCAATGAGACTGGCCGCCGTGGCCGTAATCGAATCGATCGGGAGGACATTGTTATTAAGTATAGATATTTATATTATTTGAAAATAAACAATACATTTACCATTATATTAATGATATTATATTTGGAATGTTAAGATAAAATTAAAATTTGCCTTTAAATGTTACTTATTTTCATAAATATCGACTCCTTAATTTTATATAGAAAATGTACTAGCTCTATTAGTACTACATTTTCTCTTCATTATATTCTAATTTCTAGACCAATATATTATGCATTATATTATTATAAAATTTATTACATATATTGCTTAACTTATTCTATAGAAGATATGTAGTTTAGAATGTACTTTGTGTCTTGTCGATTATTATAGGGACGGATGATTTGTTAATTTAAATGCAATTATCGAGATAAGTACAGCTGTAAAGCTAAGCGTATACATAAGAGTTTCGTTGAAAAACATTTACTAATGTCGTGTTACAATCACTTTTAAACAAATTATAATGCTTAATTTGACATAGTTGTAAAAGACAATTAGAAATGTTGAACTCTATTTAAAGCGTGGCATTCACTGCTCAGGCGATGGCGCCGAGTTGGGCATATTTTGCGAAGACAGGAAGGGAATAAATACTGCACAAGTGGCATTCGAAATGCAGCCTGCCGGTCGAAGACATGGTCGACCAACATCGATCAAAAAAGTACTAGATACAAAATCCCATGCAAAAGTTCTCTTAAAACTGTCACCAATCGTGTTTAGGTAATTATTCTAGTTCAAATAAATATACAACAATATAAATTGAATCTTAAATGCAATGCCTAAAGTTGTTTTCAAAAAAAAACAGTTAATAGCGCGCTCAAACGTTCAAATGAGCGCTCAATTCGGTGAGTACATTTTTTGTCACTGATTGTGTATCTAGTACTTTTTTGATCGATGTCGACCAATTAACACCTGGAGAAAGTCCATTGAAGGTCCGCCTACCTTAGAAAGATGGGAACTTCGTGGAACCATGTGCAAGCAGTGGCTTATGATAAAAGGGAATGGAAAACTACTTCTGCAGCCCTTAGTTACACGGCGGAATAATAGGACGACATCATTCACGGCGCCGGACGCGACTTTAGTTATGCATAGATCTAGACTTTAAACTAGGACCCACTCGGGTTTCACACGCATTATATATATGTACATAGCCATACGTGAATAGCGGCTTTAAATCAATTAATAATTTCTGAAGGAGGTAGTTATTTAGAAGTGAGATTACAAATATTTATAAATAATGGAGAGTGCACATTGAAAATAATGTACCATAAGAATTGAACGTATGAACTTTTTTCTATACCATGGAATACAAAGTCTTTAAGCTTTCCATGGTCACTGACAATGTTTTTTTTAATGTAAAACATATACCCGTAACCAAGTCGCTTGAAACAGTGCTGAAATATAGATAACTCACAAAAGTAAGTGAAAAACATTGTAAATTTCCAAATTTACATCACAAAATAATTATATACATAATATATATACACAGAGCAATCTATAGAAAGTCTATTCGTATTCAGCCCTTTTTTAATTAGGTATTTTTGAATTAGTTTAAGGGATTAGATTAAGGGAGATACGGGTCTCCCTTCAATACGAGGAGGATCAGGCCACAGTCCACCACGCTGGACCAAGTGCGGGTTGGCGGACTTCACATGCCTTTCGAAAACTTGCTAAGTATTCTCAGACATGCAGGATTCCCCACAATATTTTCCTTCATCGTAAGACAAGTGGTAATCATGTTGGAAATGATTCGCACATGAAAATATCAGAAGTACGAGACCAGAGATTTGAACTCGCTTTACTCGGTTTCTTAAGCGAGCGCGTTACCACTGGGCTACCACCGCTTTGTAGAGAGAATAAGAGAAATTCTATAGAAATGTTTTATTAATTTTGAATTCAGATAACTTATCGCTCATCGCTTAGTGGGAAGATAAAAGATTGCGATTATGTACTCATTGCGAATTCCGCAACAATTATAGTCATGAAAAATCATATTATTTTGCTTTCTAGGTACTTTTTCCTAGGTATTTAAAACGTGCAGCCATAAACATTAATTTATAATAATTTTCAATAAGCAATTTAGTATATACATATGTATATATAAAATAAAAAAAAATTACGACGCTACGATCGTCAACAAGTCTCATATGAAACGCGAACATTTATTTCGAAACAACTAGATATTTCTTATGTAAATAAGTGAATATTCTACTACAACAACACAAACTTGCCATACAATTAAAAAAAACTATTTTTTCGAATTATGGTGACCATGATTGCTGTAAATCATTCGAAACGACGGGAACCAAAATTCTAAATAAATCCGCGAAAAAATCCGAAAAAATAGTTTTATTTAAACTGTCAAATATTCGCGTAAATATAAGAAAGTATTATTTTGCCATACAATGTTATATTTCGAGGATCCGTGAACAGCAACTGACTCTGAAACCTGAAGTGGGACTGGACCCGTTAAGAGTGACCGTGTCTGGATGATGGTACATGCGAAGTTCCTTCTCTGCTTTCTGCTCTATATCAGCCCATCTGAAAATAAAATTGTTTCATGAGTGGAAAATTTGTTTGTTGAGATGTCATGGAAAATATCTTGAATATTCTGTTTGACATATAAAAAACGTACATATGGATGTACATATATATGAAATAGTTAAATGGTTAGGTTTGGTAAAACAAATGATTTATGCATCAATGGCGCCATAGGGCTTCAATAAAAAACATAACCCTTTCCTTGCAGTCGGGTAAAAAAAGAAAAACTCTCTTATCCCTTAGAATTTCTCAAGAATCTATAGAATTTTATCTATACACTAGACTCACCCTAGCTCCGCTCGGGTTCGTCCCTACTTGCTACTACTATCATCATACCAAATTTCATCAAAATCTGTTCAGTGGATTTCTCGTGATACGTTACCAGGCAGACAGACAAAAATTCTAAAAACTATAAATCGGCCTCTGTATCGATAATAATATTTATTTCAATAAGATTTTCTAAGAAATATCTAATGTACAGATTCCGATACCATATCGATACGTTCAGTAGTTCTTACATGCTGGCGTGCCAAAGGAAAACCGATTTCATTTTATAGAGTACATATTTATAGTATATATAGAAAAAGAAGATAATGAAACACATTTACAAATAGAATTTAGAAATATCTGCAACATATATAATAACCTAGTTTGGAGCTCAAAGCCGCTATCATGTTATATCGGTTGCGGTCGGCAATAATTTATACTAATATTTCCCTCTAACGGGTATCGACTCCACGACCTTCGCTTGTAGAACATGTATTCTACCGCAAAGGGTCATCTTACTCGTATCTTTGTATTATATCCTTACGAAAAACATCAAGGAGGTGTCAGTTTAAAATAAAAGTATTACTAGTGTAGCACGCAGCTTTACTTGACGTGTCGTCGATAAAAAGATAAAATTGGATTAACACAATAAACTTTTCATTACAGCGTGCAGAATCAACTAACATCCCATCAGACTCTCGTTTTTACGACATTACTTCGATTACTGTTAAGAAAAGAGCGACGACGACAAAAATTAAATACGAAAAGGATTTCATGAAAAAAAAACATATCCATACTAATATATACATACTAATATTATAAATGTGAAAGTGTGTTTGTTTGTTTGTTTGTTTGTTTGTCTGTCTGTCTGTCCTTCTTTCACGCTGAAACGGAAGGATGGATTGGCTTGATTTTTAGTGTCGAGATAGTTGGAGGGCTGGAGAGTGACATAGGCTACTTTTTACCGCGGGAGTTATCTCATTCCCACGGGAATACACGTTATAATACAACCCAAAAAATATTTATGATCAGAATTACTTGAAACTTTGTAAAAATGCTCTTCAATTCAATTAAATACCTGTTTTAACATTTTTCCAAATTCGTCCCATAAGGGGGTAAAATATGGGATGAAAGTTTGTATGAAACTTATCTTTTTTGAGTTTTTTTTATAGATTTAGCGCGAGCGAAGCCGCGGGTTGTGCTAGTTATTTACAAAAGTAATTCATTTACAATTATTATCTTATTGTTTAAAGATGGATTATTACATATTAATGTATTTAGGAATAATTGTAAGTTTTATGTCACAATATACTTTTTAATATATAATTAGGCAAATATTTATTTCGATTCATTTTAATTATAAAAAGTAAAAAAAAATCCACACACTCGATGGTTTTATTTTTATTTTATTTATTTAGAAATATTACACTAACAACACACATGTTAAATCATTTATACACTTTTAGAATATCGATATATAGATAATGAGTAATCTGATATGTATGTATGTCTTTACAAGTGTACATAACATTCGCCATAATTATATAATCGAAAGTATATATTAAATTATAATAAATCCCTAATATATAATTGATAAATACAATTCAATTACAACAAAACTTATCAAAAAGAAAAATTGATCAAATAGTAACTAAACAGTACGTGTCAAATTAACCAAGTAACGGATAGACAAAAATAATATTTACTCAATAGAAATATATTAGTAAGGTGACGTAGTTCGTAAAATATTATGAAGAGACGCTACTTTGACTACATTATTTGACGGATTTCATTAAATATTTATTGTGACGTCTGCCTTTAGTCAGACGGAAAACATAATTTTATCTCTATCAGTTGAGTGGATCCAAAGACGACTCGTGATCTCATATTACATGACACGACCCTATGGCAATGCCATGTAATGAGCTTTAACGATTAGTCTACTTAAACGATACGTAAAGCGATTGCGAAGAATTAGACGCTACGCTAGTGATCACGAGTTCGATTCCCGAATTTTGAATGTTTAAAGTGACTATATTCATATAATATATATGTACACTAGCGACTCACCCTCGCTCTGCATGGGTGCGTCCCTACGTTTTAAGGTTAGTATTTCTCAGAGATGAGGTATTTGCCCGCAGTAAAAAGTATCCTAAATTTCGACCTGGACAATCAGCTATCATCATACAAAATTTCATTAAAATCTATCTAGTGGTTTTCTCGTGATACGTTCCCAGACAGACACAAAAATTCTAAAAACTATAGATTCTGCCTCTGTATCGATAAATCATAAAAATGACTATTTCAATCAGATTTTCCAAAAAAACATTTAATGTAAATTCAACTCAGGTGGAATTTTATTATATGTATGTGGACAACACAGTAATAGGAATTGCGTGACGATGAAACATATACATACTCGTTTATGTATATAAAAAAAGACTGCATATGTAAGAAAATTGTGGAATTCGCTGAGAACATTCTAGGCAAATGTCAAATAGTACCAATAATTTATGCAGCAATGAAGGTGACATGAAGGTTATTTTTTCTGGTTTACATGAGAAAAATTATAATGAATAAGCTAATTCAAACGATTTATAATATGTAGATAATGTTTAATCGCGAAGTAATCTAAAAAAAGCAGATTTACAAAGCTGTAGTTACTAATTACCTATGTTACTATATTATATTCATTACCAATTAAATGTTTCGTATTTTATTGCTAAGATGAAAAAAAATTTGCTAGTATTTTATTTGCTAAGAAGAAAATAACAGATCAAAATAACTTTATTCTGTTGCAAAGCATTTTCAGTACAGAAATAAAAAGCCTACACCACTGATCTCATCTCCTAATCTTACTCATATTATAAATGTGAAAGTTTAGATGTTTGGATGGATGTTTGTTACTCAATCACGCCAGAACGGCTGAACGGATCTGGATGAAATTTGGAACAGAGATAGATTATAGTCTGGAATAGCACATAGGTTACTTTTTATCCTGGAAAATGAACGGTTCCCGTGGAATATCCATCCTAACCGTTAACTATATATTAAGTGTAATCAAGTTGATCCACTTCTTCGTAATTACAATTTTTTTATTGAAACAAAAAAAAGCGTACCACGTTAAATGCGAACAAAAAACATAAGACGTAGAAACATAGTATTTTACAATTACAGACATAATAGTACCTACATGTAGCAAAATTCGCACGCGCGTCGCCTCAGTGCTTATTTGTCTGAACAATCAATTCACCCAGACTTTAATATAGAATTATTGTCTTTTAAATCAATTCATTATATTCATTCATTACACATTTTACTGTATATAAATCTTAGAAATAAAACTTTGTTTTTAAAATTGAATAAAAAAAACTATCTACTCGTCTACTGTAAAGTACAAGTATTGGTCGTTTGAACAAATAAATAGTAAGATCTTAGACGACGTTGCAGCCAGTACAGACACTTGTAGGTTTGGTAGATTTTTTTTTCATATCGTCTTTCACACCTAAGATCCGCCATTTTGATCTTTTGTTTTTATAATTTTTGCTTATTCTATGACACTCGCGTTCTCTCTCAAGATATACCTAACCACGGATAATTCATCAAAATCGGGTTTGCCGTTCAAGAGTTATGAGGATAGGGTCGGAAATTTATATATACATACATATAGTATATATTTTACATATAATAATAAGCATGAATAAAATTGCATGTGAGTGGCAAGCATAGAATTTATTAATATGTTATTTCAATAATTCATTGAACGCATCACTTTCAAATGATTAAAATTATTGTATTCATAAACAAGACCTCGAGAATATTTTAGCTGTAATATAAAAACAATGCAAATATATTTACCTCTGTACAGATAATGAGAACGCTTCGACCACATTGCTATCAGTTTTTGCCGATGTCTCTAAGTAAGTTGATATTTTGTTGTCTTCGCACCACTGCTTCAGCTGATCATATGAAACTTCTCTGTCTTTTGATGACACGTCTGACTGTATGGCAACGTTATTTGTTATATATTAGACAATAATATAGTAAAATATATACTTAACAACTAACAAGAAAAAGTGTAATAAAACAACAAATAAACTCAACTTCATATAAATATATATTCCAAATATTTACTCTATTAAAAGATCACTTCATATTATAGAAAAAAGTCCCCCGCCCCCTTTGTCTAACTGACCGCGATAAACTCAAAAACTACTGAACGGATTTCATACGGTTTTTCACCAATAGATGGAGTGATTTATGAGGAAGATTAGGTGTATGCATTAGGTTTTTGTGTAAAATGTCTGAAAAATGAGAATGATTGTTGAAGATGTCGCCGCGCAAACTAATAGAGTTATACGAAAACAATGTATTACAGAAATATTGCTCTTAAAATGATCTTCCTATTAAACTGTAGCAACGCACATCAAAATAGTATCCTAATACTGAACATTTTTTTTTCATATTCACCTTATTTCCCACAACGATAAACGGGAATTTCTCAATTCCATTCTTAACGCCAGCATAATGTAGAAACTCATTTAGCCATGTCTTTATATTGTTGAATGAACTTCTGTCGTCAATTGCATAGGCCAATATACAAATATCTGTTCCTCTATAAAATGGTGTTCGTAACGATTTGAACCTTTCTTGGCCTGCTGTGTCCCATATCTATAAAATAAAATTATTTTGATATTCATTTATTCAAGCCCTGTTTTTTTAAGATTATATTTGTTATAGAATTTTTACAGAAGATTATATTTAATTGTTTTTAAATTAATAACATGTTTATTAAAGAGTTTTTATTTTATTGGTAATTACATTGCTCTGTCAATGATTTTGGAACTTTATTTGTTTAAGTCATATTCGTATTGTATGTTATCCAAAAAGTAATGAATGCCTATATTAAGAATTATCCTCTCAGACATGAGATTCGTCCACGGAATAAAATGCTCATAAATAAATTCAGTACAGTAGAGTAGTGAAAAGCATAAGGTATGTGACAACAGCTTCTTAAAACTTACAATGACTAATATTCTCGTGAAAAGTAATGAGTACATAGTTTTGTAAGATAGAAGAGAATGATAGATAAAGCTAAATTAAAAATAATAAAAGAAGTTTATCACAAATTTTGCGAGTCTAGAATTAAGAGCAATAAGTAAATTAACATACACAAATGCCACCACACCAACCAGTTTAATCATTTTAAATATATGGTAAAAATGGCAAAATTGAATAAATTATAATCTAAATAAAAGGTTAAAACAAATATATATTTATGAAAATATATATACGGTATTAGACTATTTTAAATGAATTAAAAATAACTTTTAGATAGGAACTAGTGTTTTACCAGAATCAGCCTAAAATCTGTTATACATATAATAAAATTTTAACTAAGCCAATCTGTACATTAATTTTTGTCTGTCTGTCTGTTACTGCATCACAGAAAAACCACTGGAGGGATTTTGATGAAATCTCGTATGGTGATAGCTGGTTATCCGGGTCAACATATAGGATACTTTTAACCGCGGGAAAATATCTCAAAAAAAATACAAAAACTACAATGTAAGAGTATACTAATACCCTAAGAATTTGGTTTTTGGTCATCTGAACGCGGGCGGAGCCGCGGGAAATGCTAGTATAATATATAATTAAAGGAATGCCCCTTTTGTTTCAATAATATACATGAAAAATATTTATATTATTACAATCATTATGTAAAGTCCCTTTGTTTTTGTAAAGTTGTCATTTTCTATAGATAGAACAAACCACAAATTCAATTATTGAGCACAATTAGACAATATTACATTACATTATAATATTATGACCACATAGATATTTAGCTAATGTTTCATAAAGAAGTTTGTATTTAAAATATGATTGTAATGTGTAACTATCTGAGTAATCGTTTAAATGTAAAATATCAATATACTTAATACTATCATTTTCAGCTTCTAATAAAACAGACATATACAATTCTTTAATTATGTTAGGGCTATTCAATCCTCAGATAAACAACAAAATAGCCTTTATTCGCTGAATAGCAATATTCTTGATTTTTCAATGGTCAGTTAATAGTTAACTGTTGAATAAAGCCTCTAACAGAGGAATATAGTACCTGCTACTTTAAGGGCCAGTTATGGTTTTATCTCCCCGATAAGTATGACTTTTAGTACAGAGTAGCAACTACATGTTTTGTTATGGTACATTAATTTTATTCTCATAATTTAATTATTGCTGCTATCTATCTATAGTTTATTTAAATCTCTTATTTCAATAAGTAAGCAGCAATTGTAGCTTGTACTTGATAACATTAGGTAGTATTAATTTTAATCTTTTTATCAAGAGATGGCACATAATTATGTCATAAAAACTGATAATATGACCTTGCTCTTACAGTAATTAGTGTTAAGGAGTCTTTATGAATTCATCATAAAATATAGTTAACATAATGACAATTAATTTTAATATATACAGTTAAATAAATTTGAAGTGACTAATTGTAATGTCAAAATAATAGCTTTTTAGTTTTTACGAAATGTATATTTAATTTATACAGTATTTATAAGAAAAACATAATTTTTAAAATCTTTGTATGTCTGTATGTTGTCTGTTTGTTCCGGCTAATCTCCAAAATAGCTGTACTGATTTTGATGAGACTTTCACTGACAAATAGCTGATGTAATAAGGAATAATTCAGGCTACTTTTATTTTAGAATAAGAATTAGGATTCCACTCAAAAAAATAAAAACATACCATTGCTAGTTTTAAATATTTTTGTCACAATTCAAGAGATTAAATTATATTGTTTCTAATTAAAAATTGATTTGATGATACATACATCAGTATCAATTCATATCAATGAATAACAATAATAGAAATACATATATTTTTTTATTTTTTTACATATAAACAAAAAATTTAACACATAATAATTGCATAAAAGTTTACCTGTAGTGTATACTGTTTCCCGTTAACTTCAATCATCTTATTCATAAACTCCACTCCTATCGTATGGAAGTTGTGATCGTCAAAATGATTGGATATAAATCTGCTCATCAAGCATGATTTACCCACACCTCCATCGCCTAATATAACAATTTTCAAAAGAACATTTTTGTTCGTCGTCCTCCCGTAATTTTGATCATTATCTTCAACCATCATGCCTTTGTTATAATCATAATAGTCACAAAATATACTTATTTTATTAGTTCAGCCTTGAGTCAATGTAAAATCTGTCTATTAAAAATATGACTCAAGGATACGTTGGTAATGTTGATTAATATTTAATTATATTAAAACTCACTTAAATAAACGTTTGCTATTGTAAAACTATTAATTACAAGACTTCATTACGCCCTGAACATTTACAGTTTAATGAATAGTAACTAAAATCAAACTAAACTTTCAATTTCAATATAATCCACAGCACAGCTGTTCTATTTGAAAACTTCAAATTATTAAATACAGATATAAAATAATTATCATACGAGGTTACAGATAATATATACACATTTATAACGTATTTATGACTTGTATAAATAAAAGGATAAAGAAATATAATATAATTTGAGTGTATTGAGGTAAAATTATCAAAACAAAATTACAGAGACATAAATATTTTAAATATCAATTTTCTATTTACGCCATCTTTGTAGCTATAATTTAAAATATTTTTCACATAAGTTATAAAATAAGCAAACAGATGTCGTTGTTAATTGTTTGTTTTGTGGTTCAGCGGTTGTGGCGAGTGACTCGCGAGATGTCAGTTCGTTCGAATGAGTTTATTCCGCTTTGTTTTGCGGAGGTGAGAGGACATGGTGTAATTGTGTTTCGCGTAAACTCGTTGTGCTTAATGTTTTTCTAGTTACATACATTTTTGAGTGAATAAACGTCGTAACTCTTGATAAAAGTGCTTCCTAATTCGAAAAACATCAGTGTGTGCAGTCGAAAAATCGGAAAATTTGTACATTTGCGCAATTGTGCTAGCGACTCGATGTCAATAAACTTGTCGGTGATATTTTATGGGAAAGGTGTGCCGCGTCGCTAATACCTGTTCGCAGTGGGAGGGTGCATGAGATCGGGATGTTAGCGGGCGGTGGCGCCTGATGGTGCCATGGTGTCGTAGATAGATAGGAGGTGAGTGTCTTTAGATGGCATTCGGGGCAGCAAAGCGGGGTGGCGGGCGCGGGGCGGGCTGGCGTGCATTCACCTCTGACCCGCGCGGGGCGAGCGGCGCTCAAGGTCGGTGCGCCGCCTGAAGGTCGCTGGTCACGTGACGCGAAGGGTGCCTACCCCCGCCCCTCACTCGTAGCCTCCCCGATGTTTGGGCAGACTGTCGCGTTCTTAAATGAATTTTAATTTTTTGTTATTTTTTTTTAATTATCTTGTCATATAAAATTGATGTATTCCAAATATTACATATTTTTTCTTGTTATGTTATAAATTAAGTTTGAACTCGTTAAGCTCTCGCTCCTTTGTTATGATCCGAGGATGACATTTATTTGATAGAAATTGTGCAATAGGTATATTTCAGCTTATTTGACATGAACACTTACAGCTGAAAACATGCAAAAAATATTTTTTTGAAAATTATAAGTAGGTAACTACTTTTACGTTTCCAACGTTAGAAATAGTTATAATATTTTATATTACTGTGGCATAGCTTTGAATTTGCATACGGACTAACGGTATGGCATGAAAGCTTGATAGCTACTTGATACCTACTATGGTTTAGTATGCGATTATCATATCCCCGGCCAGAATGCCACGATTTATAAACAGACACAAGTACATATGTATCACAGTTTCATATTTCATGTAAAGAATGTCACGTACATTAGTATATACAAATTTATTTCGACAGCGAGCAATGTTTTATCTGATTGAGTGAATTGATAAACTCGACACCTATGCTTGTTTATGTCGGAAGCTAGTTTTTATTGAACTAAGATTTAACTAACAAGCCATTACTTTTAATCATATTTAAAAAGTGGAGGTAATGAATTATGACTGAATATTTTGTATGTATGTTACGGGATATTTTTGTCCATTGTTAATGTATTTTAACAATTCATTTTTTTAGAAACGTATTTTTCAAGGTTTTTTAAGTGACGGCTACTTCATCTTTATCAAACAAAATTTAATTAATTATTATTATTCTGAAGAAATGATATAATTGCTCAAGCGACGATTTTAAATCAAGTCACTTCAATTTCAGAGGCGTTGAACTTAAAGTTAAAACACTAACCCTGCATCGACCTCACTTAAGCTACATTGTAGACGTAAATAACCTACGTTAAAATAACAATATTTAACACTTAGCTTACTGATATAAAAAACTTTTACCGTTTGTACTAAAATAAGGCTAACTTTAATCTATCCATCATTTACCAATTCCACAAAAACCAAAATTCAAACCTATAGATGTATAATTTATGCAAAACATGAAATAGTATACGAGCTAACAAAATAATACCGGGCCCCACGACAGCGCCGTCGACCAGACACGTTCTCGACAAAAAAGTTGCATATCAAGGTCAGGATTTTGATATATCAATTATAAATCGCAGCTTGATTTGAATAACGAAGCATTGGGAGTATTTGTAACGAAGAACATGACTACAGTGTGGTATTGTCAGTGTACGTAGATGACAGATGTATATAAGTAAGATTTTCTTTATGTCATGTTATGCAGTAAAAGATGTTAAACTATATTATATTTATTTTGTTATCTTCTAAAGCTATTTGGGTGTGCTTCTCTTAATTTTTATTAGTTAAATATGAGTAATATAAGAAATCGGCACTGTTTAATGATCACACTTTCTTTTAATGCTACGTTATACGTATTATGTAATGTTTATGAATTACACAGCCACTCGGATGTTTTTATTCAGTGGTAATGTAGGTCGATGTAAATACTGCCGTCTCTGTTTTCACAGTTAAACAATCTTAGTAACAGGTCCTATTAATTTAAAGAAGATAAAATTGCAGAGATTAGTACGTTAAGTAACAAACAATATAAATGCCATAGTCTTAACTTTTTGCAACTTTAATACATACTTTGAATTTTCATTGAAATTTACTTTTAACAAGTTTCATATATATGATACATGCATGCATATAAATCAAATTAAATAAACTGTCAACACTTTACTTAATTTAAAATTAATAAATTAAAAAAGTATTACACGAAATTAGCGAAATAATCTGTGCCCAACTGGCAAACCTAAAAGCCAAATAACAAAGAATTAAATTGAAATTAAAACAGACTTAATTTTAAAGAAAATAGACAATTTTAGGTATGACTTTTTTTGGTATAATTAACTAGGTAATTTATGTACTTTGCATAGTAAATTGAATTTATAATTACGTAGTACTTCGAGTACAGACACACCTTCGTATATGTTAATAGTTTCGACAGACAAATGCGATTCATGGACGTGGGCTGTAATTGTATTGTTAATCTGTATAAGTATAAAATAATGTAGCCAGACGTCTGTAGGTGACACAATTAAAATAACGGTTCATTTCAATTTCTAGACGCTTACGCGACATTATGCCCTTATAAATGTTATTCGTGCTTCATTACACTAATAACAACGATACATTAATTAAGATAAGTATAACTCAAGATTACTAAGCTGAAAGATGAGTACCTATCAAATTATGCCCGAAAAATTTATAAATAATTCATACTGAGGTTAAGCTCAAATATTTTTTATCAAAATTAAATATTTCAAGTTTTAATTTAAATCATTATATAATTATTTAAATCAGATGTGGGAAAATTTGCTTGTTTTGGCTACGATTAGATATTGGTACCTATAATAACGGTACAGGTGAAATCAGTTAAAATTCTGAAAACAGTTAATTTATGATGATTACAGTAATCTTTCCAAATAAGGACTTTGAACAATTGCTTTTGTTATCACAGTGCATATCTTTTATTCCAATTCTAACAGTGGTTTAATTGTAAATTGAATGTCGAAATAGGATCTCGGTTGGTTCATTGTTTGCAGTTAGCCGGATGGTGATGATTATTCGTTGATCTACAATTAGTAATTAATTCAACAGTTAGTTATAACGCCATAAATGATCATGCTTAACTAAATAATTATAAAACGTAACGAATGTAAAAAAAATGCTCCACAGTTTCTTACACAGTACACACTTTCACAGTTAAATACCTTTATGCTTTTCAGTTTATTACTAAATATTACTTTTGAAATATTGGAGCATATTGTACATATGTATGTATGTAAAATAAATACAGGAAAATCTTTATTATTTTAAAACCAATAAAGATTTCATCCATATGTCCTTTATTTAAAAAATGCAAATTGTGCGATGATTCAAGGAGCGAACGATGTTTAAAATTCACGATTGAATTTTATTCCAACAGAAATAGACTTGTTTTGACGTGCTTCTTGGCACCTTGTCGCTACCTTGATGCTAACACTATTAGTTCCTAGTATTGACAATTAAAAAAACTTTTTAATAAAAAAATAAAAACCGACTTAAAACAAAAGCAATAAAAAGTAATAAATAACTGATTGGTAGTTTTCATTTACTATACATACCTAATCAAATATTTTCGAAGTCGGTGTGCTTTGGCTAAGTAATTAAAGCCTACCTATTAAATACATACCTAATCAAATATTTTCGAAATCGGTGCCAGCCCATACAAAGCAAAGCACACCGACTTCGAAAATATTTGATTAGGTATGTATAGTAAATGAAAACTACCAGTCAGTTATTTTTTACTTTTTATTGCTTTTGTTTGAAGTCGGTTTTTATTTTTTTGTTAAAAAGTTTTTATTTTTGCCTTTTTAGTGTAGACAGTAGTAGCAAAGTAAGAATTCTGAAGTGTTAGGCTTGTCAAACCAAACAAAATAAGCCCAAACTCAAAGTATCTACTATTAGTCGTTGAAGAGTTCCACCTATTCACCTTCTGACCTTACCATCAGATCAGGTCAACAATACCGAACCACTGTACTATCAACGGAAATAGAAACACTTGCAAAGTTTCAAGTCAATATGACAATTAGAAGTAGGTTAAATTCATTATTAGCTATTTTTCCACCCTTAGGGGTGGTTTTTTTTTTGAAATTTAAATGGGACCAATCTGGAAGTATACTCTTTCAAACAAAACAAAAATTGTCCAAATCGGTTAATAAATGACGAAGTTCTGAGGTAACAAACATAAAAAAAAAAAAACATACAGTCGAATCCTCAACCTCCTTTTTGAAGTCGGTTGAAAATAGGTACATATTGAAGAGTGATGGAAATGAATGTAGGTGGATGAAAAGGTAGAAGAAGTCCAAAGAAAAGATGGATGGATGGATCGTGTGAGACAGGATATAAAAGAGAAAGCGGTGAATGATGAGATGATGAGTAATAGAGGAGAGTGAGTGAGGAAGACTTTCTGTGCCGACCCCAAGTAACTTGGGAAATGGCCAGGGAGAAGAAGAAGAGGGACACATTGAACTGTTTAAATTATTTACCATCGTCATGGGATCCTGTTATTAATATAATAAAATCAAATAATAAATATAAACATAACAGACAGGCAGATGTAGTAAGTTCTTACTGTGTAGATCAAAATGACAGCTTATCAGATTAATATTTTTCATTTGTAAAAGTATATATTAATAGTGTTGCTTAGTAAGTTGTTTTTAAATAATAGCAAACTAAATTAAAATGATTATCCTTAATTAATTTTAACTTTTTTAAATTACACATAGAACAATTATATGGCTGTAATAATTAATACTATATTTTTATATTTTTATTTATGGTTATAAATATAATAATGGCAACACTAAATATAGATTACTAATTAATATTTTTAAAATTGTAATAATTATAAAAATAATAGCAAAAATTTAATAAATAATTTTCCATATTCAATTATAATTAAAATTATAAAAATGTTTAAAGTTAAAAATATTGTAATATAATTGGTGCAATTTTCATTTTGTTAATTGTGGGTAGGCTGTCTGTAACAACTATATCTTTAAGACATGTAACACCTCAGTCTCTCCCGTGACCATGGATGCTGTAAAGCATTCGAAACGTCGGGAACCAAAAATCAAAACAAATCCGCGAAATAATCCGAAAAGATAGTTTTATTTAATAATGTCAAACATTCGCGTAAATCTAAGAAAGTATTATATTTAGGTAATACAAACTTTTCGTTGTAAATTACGCAGAAAAGTATCTGGGAAAACAAATACATATTTTGTCATTTTCCACCAGCATAACTAATAACTATTTTATGATGTACTTAAATTTATATATATAGAACTAGGAACCCGCGGCTTCGCACGCGTTAAAACTACATAAAAAAAAACATG